TTCTACTTTCCAGCGCTAGTGTTGTCCTAGGTTACGGTGTTTTAACCTCTGAGAAAGCTATCGTTCTAAATATTCAGAAAGGTTTCCTAGCTTTAGTACTCATAGCGATATGTTTTACTAGTGTTCAAATTTGTGAGTACTTAGGCCTAGCAATATATATTAATGATGGAGTTTTAGGTACTTACCTACTATGGATCACAGGATTACACTTTACACATGTATTGATTGGCGCAATTCTACTTTTCTTTACATTCTGGAGAGGTAGTTTACAATATAACCTCGATAATCAAATCAAAGTGTATACTTCTAGTAGTACGATTGTTTTACCGCAATTAGAGTCGTACACTATATTGTACTGCCATTTTGTAGAAGCAATCTGGTTAGTTATTCACTTTACCTTTTATACCATATAATATAGGGATCTCGTAAACATGCGCAGCTTGGGGCCAAAAGTGGGCCAGCATCGGCGATGAATTCGCTGTGGTTTAATAAGCAGCTAGCACGTACCTCGCTAGCTGGCAAGTCACTGCAACTAACACATATATGAAAACATTTCCTTGGGTTGTGCCCACTTCTGTTGTTTGGTGGGTCTGAGCTGGATAGAATCCCTCAAAATGGGCATCTGCGGAAGATCTTCAAAACGGAGTGTATGCATTTATTCCAAAGAGAAGGGATACAAGCGGCTCCTACGCAGTGCAAAGGAGCCGCTGGGAACGCAGAGGAAATGCTGTTCCCACTATCCTTAGCACAAATGCTGCAAATACCGTGGGAACGTCTGTTCAGTGCGCTCGCTCATCGCTTCCCGTAATTTACATCCCACTGGTATCATCTGGAACGCGTATTGGAGCCCTCCCCTGTATCACACTAGTTTGGTAATGTCAGGCAAAAGTCCTGTAGCATGGGTATCAAACCCATATGTGAGTTAATAACACCCGTAGTGCTCCCTCAGAGGCAGGACTGGAAGAGAATCTATCACGATAGCTTCGTATGCCAGGTCCGCTGCGCAACCTGCATGTAATGAACCGCTAGCAGTCGTTGCCAAGTACGATAAGCACATAGCTAACTGGAGGAGGATTTGCGCGTTCTGCTGTCGCCTCCCCTTGTCACCTCACCGCCCCTAACGTTGCATGGAAGCCCAACCGTTTCCGCGACACACATAGGTCGCTCGGTCCGTCATCTCGCATGTATGCATGCCAACGTCCCCGGCGGTCGGCGTTTTTGCTTTTTCGTCCCTTGTTTTGTGGGGCTGACACCACATCAGCATCCGCAGGGATGCTTCGGTAGTAGAAGGCGTGTTTTCCCCCCATTCGGTGTGCCGGAGAGATTGGCTGTGCCACTGCTTAGTTCCTTCTCCGATGCCCAGCTGGAAAACCATTGCCTATCCATAGATGCAGGGATTATTGTCGTGCCACTTCTTCTGTTAACCAATATTTCAATAGCAACTACAGTTTCATTGTTTATGCACCAAACACTGGCCGTGATGCAACTGGAAGCGGCTCCAACGCTTCGTCGCCTCCCTACCAGAGCGCAAATACTCAAGTCTCCATTATGTAGAAAAAATAAAGGGCTGAGAGTCGACAAGTACTTTGGAAGAGCTTGTATTTAGATGTACTTTGAAGCACCTTTGGTACTACTACACATATTTGCGCAACGGGCTGCAATGTCGTCGTGGGGTTGAAGTTCGTCGTTCGCGTGGGCACCTTGTGAACCATGCTGCGCTTCCATGTGCAGTGCCTATCGGTGGTCTTATTTGAGGACTACTGTAAGCTGCAGTGGAACAACCACACTGTCGTGAGGGTAGCGTTAATGCAGCTGACCTCCCTCTTCATTATCTAGGCGCCCAAGCGCAGCGGCTCAGGCACATGGATCTGTTCAAGAGGAATCAGCCACGCATGAACCGCATCCTGATGTCAGATGCCAGGAAGCCCACCTTACCAGCGCAAACAACCCCTCTTGATGTACAGGTGGTATAGACAGTAGTTTATAACCTTTGCTTGTGTACTGTTCCTCTGCTACCGCAAGGTAAGCGTTCTGCACCAACTTCAGACGGACGTCATAACTTCAGACAAACTATCCTCCACCTCCTTCCCCGCTGTTCCACGGCTTGGGCAGCTGCCCTCAGGGATCCTGGAGACTGGCGGGGGAGGTCGCAGACCAAAGCAATCCTGAGCCGAAGTATTGAGGCTGTTGTGTAGCTTGCAAACACATCTCAGATAAGGGCAAGCACTAGTTATGTACCAGCTTTCTTGATGGCAGGCTGAGGAGTTCCTGAGTGGTGAGCTTTTGAAGTCCACCTATGTGGCTAAAGTTTGCTTCGTAAGTTTGTGCCGCTATATGTCTTCACTACGAAAAAATGCCAGCTACAGCTAAGGAAATAAACTTAATAAGCAAAGACGTATAGCGACACAAGCGTAGGTGCACACTGGCTGCACTGCACGGCCTGCGCTAAACTCAATATGAGGCTTGCCGCTGGCCTTATCCAAGGGGCACTGCAAGCTTCACTAAAGCCAGCAACCGTTAGTATTATAGGCTTGCCGCTGGCCTTATCCAAGGGGCACTGCAAGCTTCACTAAAGCCAGCAACAGTTAGTATTATAGTTTGGTTTCTACCGATGATGCAAACACAGAGACAAGCGAAGCAAAACACTTATCTCCCTCCCCCTGCAACAGCATAATCATTATTAGGGCCCTATGTTGTTCATAGCAGAGAAAAAACCCCAACCAATAACTTAGTGTTGGTCGCTGATTTGTCGAAGGAGATGATACACTTTCGCGAGAGGGCCTTCATCCAGTGCCTCTGTTCAAGCTTGACTACAGGTGCTTCTTTAATGCTGTTTTCTGCCCCACGATATTATTATTGGAGCTTGCACAGAATGGGCACGGGATAGAGCGAGTGGCAGCAAGTGGCACAAATGAGCAGACTGGGGCATATACGGGATGCAAGGTGGCAGACCCTCTAATCGCTGGTTGATTCAGCACCAGATGTACTTGACTGCTGACTGCTGGAACTGTTGCCTGAATCCTCACTGGTATTTCTGCTTTGGCTGCTGTTGCTATTCTGATGGCTAGAGCTGTTGCTCCCACTGCTGCTGCTGCTGCTGCTGCTGGATTCGCTTCCCGCTTCCGCGCTGCTGTCATCACTAGTCCCGTCGTTGGACATACTTCCGCTCCGGCTGCTAGTCCCGCTCATAATGGCGCTGCTCCTACTGGTGCTAGTCCCGCTACCAGCATCCTCGCTGCCGTCGCTGCTGCTGCTTCCTGACTCCTCACTGCTCGCACTACTGCTTTTATCCATCGCCGGTTGAGGACTTTGGGCGTCCTTCGAGTCCATGCTGTCACCTGAGGAAGAACTTAAGATCCTTTGAACTGGCGCAGCCTGATCTGGACCACTTCGCACACCCGAAGTTGAACTAGCCGGTTGCGTATCCTGCCTGGCCTCTCCGCCGGTGTTACTGCTCTTGCTGCTACTGGTCCCTCCGCTACTGTCGTCTTCACTACTGCTGTCTTCACTGCTACCGCCTTCGCTACTGCTCTTGTCACTGCTCTCGTCAGAACTTTCACTAGAATCGCTACTATGAGATGTCGATGAGGAGGCTGGTGACGCCTTCGTCCGTTGTCGCGGCTCATCTGTTTGATGGCTACTACTGGAAGAAGAGCTGGAGTCCGATTCACTGCCTTCGCTCTCGCTTGCAAGAGAATCCGCCGGCACGCCCAAGACGTTAAATTCCTTAACCAGAATTTCTAGATTTGCAATCATATTTCTGAGGAAAGAGCCCTCTTCGAGTGAGTTTATCACGCGCTCGATGTTACACAACGTTGGGCCACGCGCTGCACGCACGCACCAACGTTATATATGCGTACTGCCAGTGTTACAAGCAGGCAGAATCGCGTTATGGCTTGCAGCGAGTGACCTGGGGCTTACCAACTACATTAGCAGAGGCTTCATACGCTTCGTATGACCCTTGTTTGGCTTCCTCTTCCACAATACACCAAAATATTGGATGCCACCCCTCAAGGGCACCCCTTTTGGCCTTCCATTGCTCTCTGAAAAAACCAGTATGGAACGCATCGTGACGGTTGAGGAATTGTTTTGATAATCACATCGAGGTGCTTGACAAGCTACGTTCAGCTGAAACGTACTTCATTTGCTTTTCCTTTTGTCGCGCCGTCTGCAGCCGTTCAAGTTTAAAGTCCATAACGCTCTTCCGAGGCCCCTGACAACATTCGTACAGAGTACCACGTGCACCACTTCGGCCAACGCAGGCTACTGCGTGTCATGCGTACTTTGGTCTTTCGTCAAATACATATATGAGGACTGAATACACTGGACCCAACGTAGTGTTCAACTATATTTTACAGAAGATTTGTTTCTTTTTATTGCAGTGCTCCTCCTCTTGTGCTTCCCTCTGGCCACGCGTAGTTCGTTGCGTTTGGCCAGTTTTTCCTCCATAATTTGGGTTTGGCGTTCCCTTTCTTCTCTTTGAACCCGAATTACGGTATTGATGAACTGTTCTAGATGTTTGCCGAGGTTTGCTCCATCCTCCTTGGTAACCAAGATGCTTGCACAGCTTCCAGCCCTCATACGCTTTTGCCACTCGGCAACAGCCTTGTTAGGGGTATGTTCGAGTGTTTTCCTTGGTTGATCAGAAGATTGCGGTACTCCATGGGAAGTAGCTTCCTCAGTAGAGGGTTGCTCATCAGCCCATGCCACTTGGACCGTCTGATCCGTTCCATGTTCAGCGCACATGCATGTCTTATTGTCAATTTACTCCGGATTTTGCCTACAATGCGTCTACCAAGTAGGGTTGTATGGGCTGGGGGAGACTCCCGACTAAGTGAGAGGGCCGCTAGAGCTCGCTGTAGTGCACCGTACCTTCACGGGTGTCGTTGGCGCTTTCGCAGCATCCTCGTTGCTCTTAACAACCTGTTTCGGTATACACAGTAAAGTATCTCGCTGATGCTGAACATTTCCTGTGTGTAGGGATATGGTGTGCCTCTGAAGCTTTGATACCGCTGCTAGTAACGGACCTCTGCAAGTTCTGTGTAATGCCTCTCCTTCAGTGCCTTTATTTCCTCCTCTTCCTGTGCCGACACCTGCCGAGTACAAGCGTACGGCGTAAACTTTGACGTACACACCTGATACGCTAAGGGCATTGCGTTGTCATCGGTGAAGTGCCGCAGTCTGTTCGTATGCACACGTGAAAAGGCTGCTGGGAGGGGGTCGCGGTGGTGGGTGTTTTACCTGTGCTATCTTTTCTGCCATAGCTTTCTTGACATAATCCTGAGCGGAACCGAACGCAGTTGCATTGAGAGTGCATGCTTTCGCAAATGGCATGCGATATTTGTGTTCAGAACACTTCGCTTGAGGGGTCTGACCAATTATCTCACATTTACTTCTTGCGACGTTGCCTTCTCTTCTGCAGCAGAAGGTTCGTCGGTCTCATTCCCCTGAGGTTGTGTGTCCACGGCTGGTGAACTGCTGAGAGTGCTGCAAAAAGAACGGATTTATTTGCGCTCGGCCAGGTCCAGTCCGCGAACATGCCGCGAAAGAAGCCAACATCCCATAGCACTGCCTACCTGAATTTTGCTTTCGCCTCTCGTTGTTTTCTGTGAAAATACTGATTAAGGATAAGAATCCTTTGGCGGCTGTGTAGCGCCTTCAGATCTCGTAGCTCAGCTTCATGACAGCCTGCTAGCAGCTGCAGAGAACGCAGTGTCATGCACATTCCCCTGCAGATTGAGCTTTTAGTGTTTAAAGCCTCTAAAGAGAATCCCCAAGGCATGTGGCCTAAAATAACGCGGGCTCCAGTTGTCAAGACTACCAATAAACTACGAGGAATATTTCTTATACACAACCTGTCTATTGTTCTAGTCGAATGCCTTCGCGTTTGGTCTTCGTTTTTGTATTTTCGCATTTCACTACTAACCACTTGCCGTTTACCCCCAACATACTCTTAACTGTAACTGCAAGGCTTTACGTGCAACTGTATGTTGAAAAAGTATGCCCTGACCTCCTTCTGGGCCACAGCATTGCTTGATTGGTCTAGTTGCATGCTACGCAATTCTTCAAATTTCGCAATCCTGGACAGCTGCAGTGCACAGCATTCATATTCATGGGCTGAATGCTTGCTTCATCTAGCCCTTAACCGCTGTCCTTGGTGGGAATGCCGGTCGAACCATTTCAGCACGCTATTAGAGCCTCACCTTCCATTGAGCCTCCATAAACTCTTTCTGCTGCTTGAGCTCGTGCTCAAATAGTTCTTGTTTCTGCGCCTCGACGAATTCTCGCTTTTCGACATCGGCAGCCTTGGCCTCGAGGTCGGCGGCAGCCTGGGTTTCAGAAAAACAGAAACCAACACACTCATCAGTAGAACTATTCACAACACGAGAAAAGCCTCTTGTGCTGTTGCACGCATGCTACATTGCGGATCAGGCTGTCACTGCACACATCTACATGAAATACTGTGTGGGAACTGCAAACGCCTGTCCACAGTTACGGTGGAAGGGAAAGACACAATATGATGTGGAGCAAGCGCTGCTGTTATACACCACTGTTGGGTAGTTCTATAGCAGGTACAGGTGGCCGTGAGGCCTTCCACGTGGGTTCTACTTTTACAAAGCTTATGCTGAGGAACAATTTGGCCAACCTCTAGTGTTGTTATTTCTTTCTGAGTAGCTTCAGCTTCTCGGCGAACAGCATCCACAGTTTCTGAGATAGATATCACATGTGCTTGCGCGATCCTAAATGAGGTTCCGCTCGTCTTGGGACTATCAAAAAATGCTACATATGCATCACTAAGTTTGTAAGCACTTTAATACCTTGTTCCGCTTCCTGGTCGCCCTGAAAGTACACAGGAAACCACTGCACTCAACATAGACTGGACTTGAGTGACTTGCCATGCTGCATGTGAAGCCTTAGCCAGCGACTGTTCAACCTTCTATGCTTGTTTGCAGCTTGGAACGGGGGAAGGAATCTTCTATTTCTAGAGGCACTTAGAAGAATGCTGGATATGCTACAGCAACAAATCGCTGTCCTGCACTCGTACCATGCTGCAAATCCGCTGCTGTAGCGTATCCAATTTGTTCCTGAGACTCTGTATTTCCTGATGCTTTTCACTTAAAGATAGCTGCAAACAGACGTAACAACCGCATTACGAGACGCTTGCTGATGCACTACGACTAGCTACAGGGGGTTGAGCTGCAGCTGGTTTCGCCATCAAATGCTTGTTAGAAGCAAAAATGACCTTCAGTTTGTTTTCAAATGCAGCGAGCTCTGCAGCCTGCTTATCTTCAAGTTCTTCAGTCTGCTTCCTTATGCTGTCTTGTACAGAAGTACAATAACTTCTTGCCCACAACCTGACCCATGTTGGAAGGTACCACAGCAGCCCCTAGAATTTACTCTACGATGTTCACTCCAGTACACTGACGGTTACGGTACGGGTGAAGAAAATATCAAGTTGAAGCACTGCTAGAAGTGTCCCATCAGAAGAACTTTCATCTTGAATTACCAAAATGTTTCCAGCTCACCCAGACTGCCCCATAGTTGATAGGGTAAACGAATTATCTGCTGCTTCTCTGTCCAGTAGAACGGTACTCCATTCAGCTTCCCGTGCCCTTATGATATTGATGCGGACTTGTTCTCCAGCCTGAAAGCATCTCTCGCTCAACAGCCGCGATGGCTGTGGAGCAAATTTACATGGTGTGGCAGTTAGATATTCCGCCATCGTGGGACAGGTTGGAATGCTTACTGAATCTAATCTCTGTCTCCGTGATTGAGTTTGCTGTAAGGAATCTTTTAGGTACGTAGCACGGTCCTGGTTGGCTGCTTGGATTGTTTCATCCCACTGGATGAAACTTGCCTTCAGAAGGTCTCGCCGCTCGCTTAGGGATACCGATGGTGGAGCCATCATCGGAGAAATTGTAATTAACACGCTAGCATAAGCACCTTCTTGCGTCATAGAATGTGTAACGGCAGGGATTTCACCTGCCAAGGAAGACGTTGGCTTGATGTTTCGCATTGCTCCAATTAAGCTCGAAAACAGCTTGTCAGTGATTTGCGATAGGAGCCGGTGCATATCCAAATGTTGCCGTCTTGACACGTCTCGGGCCGTTCTGCACTGTATACATGCCGAATAAAGTGAAGTATTCGCACACGCAGGCAAACATACTCCAAGTAGACGTTGGTTACACAGCAATAATGCTGAATCCTGGAACAATCCTTGCGTGAGCTGTGGTGGGCACCTAGTTTCCGAGATTCTCACCTGCCGTTCGAACCACAATGTGCTCTTTTTGCGCGCTTCGCGTGCAAGACAGATCCTCTGCATTATAAGGTCCTTCCGCTTCTCTTGGGACTTCAAATTATCGGCCTCTTGGCACTCACTTAGCTGAAGTACTTTTTCGTTCATCTCCTCAACACGCGCCAGGGATTTCTTCTGCATAAAAGGGGACCAACAAGAGCGCAAATTTGCTTTCATAAGAGACAGGCTTTACGGAAAGCGGAAAAACTACGCGCTACCACGTACTTTAAGTGAGTCGATGACCTCCGGGAGTTCCGTTTCGCTTCCTTTACACAGTGCTTCTGCCTTGGCCTGCAGTGCACCGCACTTGCTTTGCGCGTAGTGGGCATAGAGTTTGTATGTACTACCAAGATGTTATGACGAAGTATGTATGAGAGCATGTATCACGCAGCGATTATTGTCCACTTATGTTCCTTGATGTTCATATTTGAGTTTCGCGCATATCGTTACTTCTGATATTTGGGTTATCAGGGCATCTCGCTCGTCTTCAATGAACTTCAACCTGATTCTTTCAACTGCCAACTTGTCTTGTGCCGCAGAAATCTCAGTTTCTACTTCGAGATCCTCCACTGGAACTGTGCTGTTAAAGTTAGCCCTTCGTTCTTCGTCTTCTTCAATATTTCTGCACAGCAGAAGAAACGGCAGAAACCGTGCATGCTCACATCTATACTGTCTACTTGATTTGCAAGGTTTCGCATGCCTACTTTCTAACTTGTGTAGCATGGAATGTAAGATGTTCCTGTTGAATGCTCCTCTTGACACAACATGCGTAGCTACACAGAAATCGGCGGACTGAGTTATTACCCACTGCCGCTTCTGCTCTTCCAGGACTTCGATGCGCCTCCCGATTTCCTCCTCCTTCAGTTCTTCAGCCCGTAGGAGAGCAGTTCGAACATTTCTCAGCTCTTGAAGCATGACGTTTGACGCATTGTCATGAACCAAATTTAAGGAGCGAGCAAGACTTTGACTGGCAGCCCGAATATTTCTGTTAAGTGCATCGAGGCATTGCTGCAGCTCAACAGCTACGGTAAAAGAATCTGGTATTTCGAGGATAACCTATCAGGACAAGCATAGTGCAAAAAACTAAGGCTTTGAATGAGCGGCAAGCAAGGACCCATATTCTTGTTCGATTATCCCAAGTTCACCTGCACGAACATCGCGCAAACCTGACGAGCGCCTACCTTCAACTTTCTTATGTAGTCCTCCAGCTCAAGCATCAAGCGCTGGTGAAACTGCTTAATGCTCTGTAGATTGGCACCACGCACAGCACAGCACAAACGTGAAAGCAATACTGAAAATATGGCAAACCTAACTCCGCCTTTGCTGTTGATAGCCACCAGTAGGCACTAACTTGATTTCGGTTTTCTTCCAGCTTAGTTTGAGCATTCAACAGGCAGGTGAGCTCGTCTGCTACAGTACGAAATTTCAAATCATGCCGCAGCGTTGCTATCTTTTGCTCTTCGAGAGCAAGGGATCTTGAAATACGCAAGCGATCTCTGGCGAGGCGAAGAGAACGAGAGAACTCGCTGTCCATGGCAACTTTCAAATCTGCAAGTGCACTCCGCTGTTCGAATGATATAGCGTCCAGTTGCTGAGAGGAGAAAGAAGCCACACTTAATTTCAAATCATATGCTACATTCCGACGTACTTAGTGAAAATACGCCCCGCAGTTCCACATAAAATTTGCGAAGCGAGACTTACTTGTTCTGTAGCAACCCTGCATTCTTCTGCTATATATTCAGCTGATTCGTCCGCAACGCAGAGACGAATCAGACACTCATTTTTCGCTCTCTCAGCGATCAGTGTTCTCTCTAGCTCTTGCCTTTGGAAGCAAACGCAGGGAAAATAGAAGTACACTGCGGCAGGAACGTTGCGGTATGCAATATTGGGTGACGCACCTTGTGAAATATGTTGACTTACAGGGGTGGCAAATTGCCCATCAACCCCTTTTCACTGCACTGGCTGGACCTAAAAGACTACGAGAGTGCCTTGGCAAAGAAAGCAGATTGCTCACTGGTAGGCTAGTTGGCCCTGTCTAGTTTGGGAAAGCGCAGAATGATATGCTTTCAGCATTTCGATTTCCATGGCTTCGCGCCTGGACCAGTTGAGCTGCTCAGCATTGACAATATCCTGGGGCCTCATAAACGCAAACAGATTTAGTCGTGACGAATAAGACACAGTTCGTGCAGTGCCTCAATCAGCTGCGGGTGAATGTCTGGATTAGGAAGGCCCACGCGCTTTGTTTCTTCCAGTGCCTTTCTCGTCTGTGACAGCATCTCCTTGATGGACGTGCTCAATTCGGTGGTCTTGGAATCCATAGATACCTTATGCCCTGCTTTTGCTTCTGTTTGATGCTGTACAAACTCCTGCATGCAGAAATTCCAGGTGACGCAGTCAGAAAGCACAGTGGACAACATTTCCTTGATAACTAAGTATATTGTAGCTGGGCAGCAAGCAATGGATGTCGAACAAACGAAATAAGTTTGATGAGAAAAGGGCATGCGCCAACTTCTGTAAATGGATGTTGCTCGTTAGTGAGGCCCAACCTTGTAGACGCTTTCAGCGGCCTCCATGAACTGTTTCTGGATTGTAGGAAGCGCGGTTAGCCTCTTTGTAGACAGCGCTTTTTCGAATCTTTTTCGTGCACTGCAAAACTCGCTGTAAATGTCTTCCTGAAGGGCTGCGACGGCCCTGCTGAATCCCGCTAAGTTACACAGTAGGGAATCATCCCTGGAGCGTTGCTGTGAGACGCGCAAAGAGGCGTTACAAGACACCGACGAGTTGTCGGGTAAACTTGACAAGTGCTAAGGTATTTAAGGTGAGAAATAAAGTATAGTGCATAATGCATGCTGCTAAGGTAAAAGGGAGAAACACATTATACTGGCAAGCGAATTATAGAATTAGGAGAATAGGTTTCTCGGCGAAATGCCGTTAACAAGGGGAAACGCTGACCTGCTGGGTGAATGCTGAGTTTCTTTGGTCTATGAGTCTTCCAATGGCCTCGTCAATCGAGCGCCTCATTTCCCAAATCTCTATGCGCTCGGAAATCAATGTTGCCTGGTCGCAAAGGTGAAACATGAGGAAATCCTTTTGCATTCAGAACCGAATGTGCAAGTGCCTGTAAGGTGAACGCCCTTGCCTGTGTCTTGAGAACATCGTCGCTAACAGACCAGGAGTCGCCCGCCTGCACAAACATCACAAGCTACAAGGAAATGAGTGTTCAATCTGAGGCGACGCTTCCTGTCTACGGTAACATGTGCCACCGATGCTTCACTTGTTCAGAAAACAGTGGGATGTGAAGGGAAGCAAAGCGTGTCACCATCTATTTACTTCAAGTTTCTCCTTTATGCGAGAGACGCAGGTCGCAAACAATTCTTCGGCTTCTTTTAGATCTTGCCCATCGAGTTTCGTCGTTAGCTCTTTCATCGTCTGGGTGGCTGCTTCCACTGCCTGTAGGCGCCTTAGTGCTTGTGTTGTAGCAATTGTTTCCTCTACACCAAGAGCGGCAGCAAATGATTCTGGGTTAAGGCCTGCAATCTGGATGAAACCTGCAGACGCTTGACGGATGGTCGCCTCAATAGTTTGAGAGTCCAGGCTTGCGTATAGCTTGGAAACATTTGATTGCTGAAGTGTCTGGCTCTAGCAAAAGCGCCCACAACCAAGTGTATATGGCCGCAGTGAATATCCCAGGTATATTCCTCTGGAAATGTGTAGATCTAAATTTCCAAGGAGCGTATAGTTGGAGCATTGCAAGTGTTTCTTGCTACTGCTATTGGGGCAATCCGCCTCACATCGACATCTGCCATGGCTTCAGAAGCTTTCCGAACAGCTTCTTCAAATGCTCCTTTTCGAAGGTGCATCATGCTTTTCATATCAAGCAGCTTTTCGCCTAATTCTGCATCTTCTACTTCAACCCATGCCTGCGAAGTCACTACAAATAGCTCCCGGGTGCTGCATTCCTCTCCGAATTAAACGGTTGGAGAATGTCCACCACCCCACGCAGCCGGCGTCGTGGCGCTCGTGTGTTCTGACTTTTAAATCAATGCAAACACATAACTAGCAAGATCATTCTTAGCATGGCTCGCAATGTTCGGCTGCGCTCCCAAACCAGGGCACACGAGAACGAATAATATATTGCAAACAGTGAACGAGAAGCTCCTTAAGAGACGACGTCCCACATGCAGCCTATGACATCAGATCACTACATGGTGCTACCTTTTTCTCGGAGGCCTCGGCTAGAATAGGGAACAACGATGTACGTAAAGGCCCCGCCATGTCGAGTCCGAGTTCGATAAGCTGGTCCTGCTGCAAACCCATGTTCTCAAGTTGCTCTCTCAGCATATTCATTGTTTCAAGAAGCTTGCAATACACCGCCTGGAAAACACGAGGATCCAAGTCAGTGAATGTCGTTGCGGCCTCCGACTCAGCCGCTGCTCCTCTACAGCAAAGTACAGATGGCTGGAATTTGTTAGGGTGACTTGGCTGCCTGAACAAATGAATTCACCGTAAGGTTTGCGTATATGCCAGCAGAAAGACATGCAGAAGGTAAGCCCAGTCCAAAATTAGTGTTTCTAGTTTCTTACCGTGACACAACACCACCGGAGCAAAGGGGCACAGCTTGGCGGCGAAAGGTGTGACTGAAAGAACCTACGCTTCATCGTTTGCATCAATGCCATTCTCGGCTTGAAGAGGCGGTGCAAATGTCCAATAGTGCGTGCGCAATGGAAATTGCAACAGCAACAAGCAAAGTGCAACAAGCAATATTATTCCGAATGTTATTAACAGCGTTGACCAGTCAGGCGCTCCATAGCGGACAATCTCCGGGAACTCCATGGAAAGCGCTGCGGTAAATTTCTTGGTTGCTGGGTGTGGCAAGGCGGGTTCCATAGATCCGCATTCCGCCTTGTCGTTCACGACTTTTACGAAGACAATGCGGTTTAAGTTCCGGTTTGTTGCAAAGACTACGATCCCCGGGTTTGTAAATGTGTGACCAAAAAGCAATAGCGGCGCCCCAGATTCCATTTCAGTCTTCAGGTTTCTGTGGCAAAAAGCGCAAGATTATTAGTTACACTTTTTGCATTTTGACAATACCATGCACTGTATTTCCCGGATGTTAGAAAAAAAGTAAGTTTTGCCCGGTTGGTGAGCAGACATACTTAAATTGTCCGGCATCAAATCCCGTATCTGTGTTATACAGAGAATCGTGCACGTGAACGGGATACACGGGCTCCGTTCCTGGTTCCAACGTCCACAAAACGGACGTCCCAATGAGAATACATAGTAAGGGGCTCTCGACAGAAGGTACATGAGGGCCCGCCCGAACCATCATAGGTTGCGGCTCTCTTGGCGGGCTCGAAGTTGCGGCTCGTCTGCTGTCCACTGCTGAGTTGAGTTGTTCGCTAATTAGGTCCACCAGGCTATCAGGAACACCGAAATAACCATGTGTGCTGCCATCTGCTCACATTGCACATCGCCAGCAGCAAGGCCTCGCCCCCAGTGACTCATCCCCACCAATGAGCATCGGATGAAAGACTGTCTGTTACCAGGGCTTTAAGGTAGCCTCAGTGGAGTCCTCTAACCTTCAGCAACAGAGTACAGTACGGCTGGACAGCTGCTTGTTGAACAGGCCAGGTTGCCGAACAAAACATTAGAGCGTCCGCTGAGATCGGCTAAAGCAAATGCTAAATCGATACTGTCCGCCTGATTTGTCACCACCAGATTTCCGTTTTCAATTAAAATGCCCTTCTGCTGTCTTCTGCAGGCCTCATCACAGACTTCATCAATATCAGGCAGACCAGCGCATTCGCAGAGGGTGGTCTCGGATGTGTACTTGCCACCCTTGTGCCCACAGTAGTCCTCACAGACTTGGCTCGTCTCTTGGCAGCTACCAGTGTGTGTGTACACTCTGGTTCCGCTGCAAACGGGATACTCCTGAGCGAGCACAATGGGAGTCCAACGAAGAAAGCGAACCACGCATATTCATTCATATTCATTCTAGGGAAAATATCGAATATCGGAATCCATCTGTCCATGGATTTCAACACTCCTAATCATTACAGTTACCCTTGGAGAGCACGGCTCGGCGCTGTCTTCATCCGATAGATCATTGCCTGAAGTAACGCAACTAAACAGCTCAACCGACCATTAGGAGAGGGAAAGATAAACATAGCTTCTTGGATATTGGGAGAAAGTATAGCGCCCGGTTCACAAATCTGCAGATGATACAACGGAAAAAAAAACAGCTGTTGAAGGAAAGATACCTGAAACAACATGCTCGTAACCTGTCTTGCAAATGCAGGCCCCTGAACTTGGCTGGTAAACCCTGTTTGCTCCCATACACTTGCATTCGAAGGTGCCAACTTCAGTAAAGGAACTACCCCCACAAGCTATACAGCTCCTTTGGCCCATAGCGTTTGTGAACGAACCAACCTAATCAATTCGCAATGCATAGGCGTGCTGTCAACAGAAGGGCACTCTTGGGAACACAAGAATAAGGCCCGATTCGCCATGCAGAACACACCCGTCACACGAGACCATAGTCGTTCAAGCAAGTCCCACATGCTGCATATCGGTGCAGATGAATTTACCGGGCACTCTAGACAGTCATCAGGGCTTCCCTTTGCGGAATTTGGATTATATGTACCAACTGGGCAAGGCAGCATGGTAGAAGAACCTTCAGGGCAATAGTGACCGGGCATGCAGGGGACTCCTCCATCTCCACTCATGCTTTGCGGATACCTTAGGTGCACAAAAGGCTCAACACAGCGGCGAAAGGCGCTGGGAATTTAGTCACTGTGATTGAGAAGAGTGCATTTTGGCGTACTTGCTACTACAGCCCTTTTGACAGACGTAACCAGGGTGGCAAGGAATGCATTCTGGGCTCCCATCAGAGTCTGTGTATGTGCCCTGTGCCACAACCAAAGCACATGGGGAAATCAATAAGGATTCGATAAGGATGTCTGAAACATGCCTATCGAATTCTTAAGTTAAGACTGAGCGACGATTGCTCTGTACGGTGGATGCATCGCGGTGTACGCGTAACTCACCTCCGCACACGGTACACAAGCAGTTCGCTCGGAACTTCGCAACATGTCATAAGGATTCATCATAGTCCCAGCGGGGCAAGCAAATGCAGCTTTTGCTCCTTCAGGGCAAAAGAAACCTTGAGGGCAGGCTTCAGGCTCAGCTGACATCATAGGGCAGAATGATCCACCAGGGCACGTGATTGGCTCTGTCGACCCAGGTGGGCAGTAAGTGCCAGGGAGGCACGGCATCGCTGCCGGACTTTGGACACTACAGTAGTGCCCTCCAGGACAAGGAACCGATAGGTCTGGAGTTCCTGGGTCTCCGCAGTAGACTCCACCTGAGGAGCGTGACGGAGATGCGCACGGTTAAGTTGCACACCCAACCTATGCATACACCCCGAACTTGCCACCACGCTTGCAATACTCTATGGCACCCACCGGGGCAAGGCTGGCAAGCAGACGAGTTGAGCGAGCCCTTTTGAGGGTTGTGATATCCAGGGGAACACGGCATAGCTTTGTATGATCCTTGCAAGCAGAAATGCCCTCGTGGACATGTGTTTTCATCTGACAGCTCGCCCGTTCCCTCTTCCGGGCACACCATTCCTGAGGAGTTAGGACACGCTTTGCACACTTTTGCAGCATCATATGATTCATGTGACAGGTGATGCGAAATGTTGAGCATCTCCTTTGTTCTCCTAAAGGAGGCACTGTATCAGAGCTGTCGCACCAGCAGGACATAACAAGCAACTCGCCGAACTCGACTGCCCTTGTTTGGGGTTGTAATATCCCTGTGGACATGCTGCCGGGGATTGGGAACCACGGCGGCAATAGTGGCCCTTGGGACATAGTGCAGGAAGTGCATCCGTTGGAAGACAATAGTAACTGCAAGTCATGCGCAAGAAAGGTTGTACTGCTCAGCTGCAATCCACTACTACGCTAAAGCCGGAAATGGAAGGTAAAAGACTCACTCATTGCACTTACATGGGTGGAAGAAACTTGTTGTTGCATGCCACTATGCAATCAATTGGCATGCAACGCTTCAACTAATGGGTGCAGAAATCACTAGAGTTTCACGGCTGGATGAGACGTAATGCTGTTCCTCACCCTGCAGGGCATAGCGAGCAGTCCGATGGCCAGCGGCCTCCCTTTGTTAGCCTAAATGAACCCCTATTGCAGCTACTTGGCTCCTCGGCTCCCTCTGAGCAGTAGTACCCCGACGGGCAAGGAATGCCTCCGTATGCCTTGCTTAGAGCATTTTCCCAATTCGCTTCAGTTAACACAATCCCATCGCCTGCCGCTTGTACTTTAGTAGGGATGTAGGGTTCCCGGGAAAACTTTGAGTAGTCGGGGTTAGGCACGGAGTTACCCAGGCCGCACAGAAACCTGAAATGGGCTCAACAGAGAAGGCCGCCGAACAGCATATATCCATCTGATACATCACATTCACAACGAGAAGCAAGCAGTCAAGTACGATTAGGTCAGCTTACCCAGCGCTACAGTTGCCAGCAATGACACCAGCACGGCAGTACTTCCCTCGTGGACAGGGAGCGCAGGCAACTGCCAGGTCAGTAGAGTCACTTAGCGTTTTATATGCACCGTAAGGGCAATGGCTCCCCTTCATCGTTGCTTCGGGGCAAACCTACGTGCGAAACACAGTATGCGCCAGAGAAAATGAGCATTCAGCAGTTTGTCCTGTGTAACAACAACGTCGTCCCATTTACGGCTACCGCTTACAGTTCCCCTGGCATATACACATAAAACCGACAAAAATATGTCCATGGGTTCCTAAGAAGGGCGCTTGTTGATTTAGAGTTGCACAAAGTCGTTTAATATGCTATGCATCTGAGGTTGTTAAAAGTTTCTTCATTGACCTCACCAACCCTTCAGGACAGGGCGTTGGAGTGGAGCTCAACAAATGACATTCGAACCCAGCAGGGCATGGCTTGCATTTCGCCTGTCCAGGCTCCGAGGTATACTGTCCAGGAGAGCATGCCCGGGGCTTAATGCTGCCAGACGGGCAATGCCAGCCAGCCGGGCACCTTCCACCTGATAGTCCATCCGTTGGGCGAGATGTTTCGGCTCCTTTTAAGCAATAGTACCCGGCGTCGCAGGGTGTACTTGGTGTTATGAGGCCTTCTTCCGTGCAGGCATATCCTGGAGTACATGCCTTGCAGTTTACTGCTCCAACTGCATCCTAAGGCGAAACATCAAATTGCTTATTTTGGACTCTGTTACCATGCTGTTTTACTATTCTCAGATTAGAGGAGAGACAATCAGAGCATTGGGGAAAAGCACGTACTTGAAAACTCCCGCGTGTACAAGGTGTCGGTGTAGCGGATCCAGGGGGGCAAAAGTGGCCAAGGGGACACAGCCCGTAGTCATCCGTGCCCTCTCCAAACACCTGTAGGGGCAGTAAGTCAGTGCGAGCTCCCCTGGAGCAGACAAAGCCACTAGGGCATATTGCCGATGGACGAGATAGCGCAGGCTCGTCACAAACGAAACCACCTGAAGCAAGGGACAGCAAGTTGTTCCTACTTGAATTATGCGCACCTGAGCTTTCCCTGATTAAGTGTAATTCCAGCTTCGAACATAATTCGGTGGCCTGTCCCACTTTTGTACTTACCAGAACAAAGCTCACATGAGGAGCTACCTTGGCTGGCGGCAAACGTGCCCAGTGGACATGGCACAGGGAATATAGTCCCTTCGACACATGCATGACCTGCTGGGCAAGGATCTTTTGGAGCTGCCAGCCCAGACGTTGGGCATTTCCAACCGACCGTACAAGGAGTGCACTTTCCCTTCCCTTTCTCACTGTATGTACCCGGAGGGCAGCGCTGGGTTGAACACCAGAGACACAAGCTGAGTAGCATGCTACTAGGTGCCAGGAACTGGAGGTAAACTGCCAATGGAGCTCCTCAGAGTCGTGTAACTTTCGTACCTGAGCTACGTATGATCCTTCAGGGCAAAAGCTACCGGCTGGGCAAATGTCTCCTCCAGTACCACCTGTTGGAGTAGGGGTAGTGCTGCCTCCCGTACAGTAGTAACCCTCCGCACAGGGACCAGTACCCATCGAGGTTGAACAGTATTTTCCAGGCTGACACGGTAGACAATCAGTAGAGGCCTTGCCTCCATCAATTGATGAACTTGTTCCCCTGCGACCCATTGGCAAATTCAAGTGACTCGGCAGTGCATCCTCTGGGTGGCATTAGGGACGGTACAATGGCTTCCTTTTGCTTTAATGCCTCACACTGCTCGCATGAAAGTGCTACCAGGTGCTTTCTTACTCTCCGCAAGCTTGTGGAGATTGTGTCCCTTCTGTGCAGTAGTAGCCAATGGGGCAGAGGCCACCTGCTGAACCGGAAATTCCGTCTGGATTTTTCTCCTCAGGGTGAGGAGCAGGTGACCACGCCCCGCCTTTGCAGTAAAACCCCTGCGCAGTTGCAGGATAATAAGTAGCATCGCCAGCCAGTATAAGCCAAAAACTTAGCATATTGTTTTTCCAGTGCCTTTCCCGGTTCAGGCGGACTACGGCTGGAGGAAGTCTCACTGCCAAGCATTCTCCAGTTGGTTGTGTGAGGCCACGCGAGCCACAAAATTTCCCAGTAGGGCAAGGTAAGCATTCTGACACGGCTTTGGCACCTTTTGTATTATTATACGTGCCAACGGGGCATGGGTTTTCGTATCCATTGTATGACCCTTTGGGGCAGTAATAACCCTCATGACACTTTGTTGGTGTAGCTGCGCTGTCCATGCAGAAATATCCATCGGGACATATCTTGCATGCCACCTGACCCTTCAAGTCCTGATACCAGCCTTTAGGACAAGGCGTAGGAGCGGCGGGGCCTACACAACAATGAGCGGCAGGCACGTTGCACGCATCACACCCACAAATTGTCGAGAGGCGGCGTCTTCCTGCATTAACTGCCCCAACATGGCAAGGCTATGCATCTCATCTCCGAGAAGGCAGACTCCTCACCAGGTGAACTAGTCCCCGAAACCTGAAGTTCTGAAAGGTAGACTTGGGAATCCGTAGTTGAGAGCATGAGCTTCCTGGTAGCCACCTCTCCGAAACTCAAAGAGTACGTAGATTCCTTGTTGGATGACACAGAAAATAGCTCAACGTATGTAGACGATGCAGAGTGGAAGAAATGTACTGAAAATGAAGAGAGGACCTGCAGGGAAAGAACAAGAGGCTTGAGCAAATACAAATTAAAAGGTTTGCACCCGAAGACATCCGCAATGAACGCCGTACCCAAAAATGGTATTGGCTGCACAACACAGGGAGGTTTGAAGAAACAAAAGGTACTTTCTGTGAAACCGGGGGGCGGGACAGATTTCGCTTACATTCTCCCCTCTTACAGTTCCGGAAATTAGGGTAACTTCGTTGATAAAGAATAGGTCGCCAAAATCAACTGTCAAACCGTGGCCACCAGTGGATGTGCTTTTTGAAACCCAGCCAGTGCCTAAGCCAGTTTCACCATTTGTTACTTTCTCAGGAGTGCCACTTCCAACGAAATCTCCCGGAATTGTGAGTTCCACAACTCCATCGAGAGCAACATTGGTAAATACACCTGAACATGCGTAGCCATTTACATTGTTTTCCTGCCGCTTCTCGCGCCAAGAGTAGTCACCTGCCAGATGCTGCGCCTGAGCCCTGTGACAAAAGCTGTCAGAATCAATCCACTGCTGCTGCTGCTGATGATGATGATGCTGCTACGCAGGCTTCACATGCAGCACGTTCTTACTTTCAAGTGCCTTGCAAAAGTGACCCGGTGGGCATGCCACCGCATTGGTCTTTGTACTCCCTTCGGGGCAATAATACCCGTCAGAGCACCGCCCAGTTACCTCAGGTTGTCCTTGTCCCTGACAAGCAAACCCTAAAGGAAGCAAACCGCAGGCGCATTTGAGTACGACTCACTAGCTGATTATGTAAAGCTCTTCTATGATTCCGTGCATCGGTGAGGGGCGTGTTTGCACACTATGAATGCTAGAATAGCCAAGGAGCAACGAGCTGTTGGGCATATTTCACAAATAAATAAGTGCTTGCAGGCTAACCTGCTGGACACTGAATGCAATCTTCCACTGTGGATCCCCCCTCGCTGTTTGAAAACGTGCCATCCGGACAGGGAACCTCCGTGGAGCTTTCACCCCTGTCGGCCGGAGATAAAGATACTTTTCTAACCCGTTTGTTCCCACTATCCAAGACGTACAATGCGGTAGCTGAGCCTCCAAACTGAGGTACAGACAGAAAATGAGAGTGGCGACGACGGCCTTGCCGCAATGTTTTCTGTCCGTGGTAGTCTACAGAACTAGCTAACTGTGTCTTGGTCCCTCGCCTTTTGGGACCTATTTAGTGGGCATCTAACCGTTAGTGCAACGACCTCCTCTATCAGGGAAAAGTTAGTACCTGATCAGGGATTGCAACTCCTGTAGGAGTATCGATTTCCGACTCAGGGGCTGGAATAATTCGTCCGTCGCCACTGAAGCCTCGACTTCCTGTTCCCAATATTTGTTCTAAACGCTTTGTTTGCAGGTCCAGCCTCCAAACCCTAAAGAAGCCCCGCAAATATCGGCATACCCCGCCCCAGAAACTGTTTTCTGCTCTTCCCACGCACAAGGCAGAAGACTACCTGTACATACAATGCCATTCTTGAACGAACAGTAGAAGTCATGCTCTAAGGCTAGTGGAAACCGAGACGTGCTCGATTGTCAGCGCTTACACATGCTTCGTGGAGTCGGTTAGAAACAATGTTGGCTGCACACTCAGAAATTAACAGAGGCGCAACAGCTTTGAGTTGCGCTCAAGCAGAGGGACACGCAGATGTTTCGGGGAAGGGAGAATTGCTTGTCGCAGGGATATTTTCCTACATTAGCTAGCTTCCCGTAGGCCAAAGAAGTGACCTCCCCGAGCTCATAGTCTAGTTCCAAGTCTTTTATGGTTCGTAAGAGTGGTGGGAGAATTTGCACTTGGTCCACGTTAGATCCTTGGGCCCAGATGATCTACAAAATGCAAACAGCTGGGCAAAGACAGTCATTTACACTTTTCCCTGCCTAAGGCGTACGCAGGTTACCCAGTATCTGGCTCAAGGAGGTCCGATCAAACGCACTCTGGATTTCCCGTTGCTGTCTGCGATGTAAATATCTCCATCTGGGGAAAGTGCGACAGCTCGTGGTTTGTTCAGCAGTATATTTGCTGCAGACATGAACCAGTTCTTACATAGAACCTAAATAGCATCGAGTTGATTTTGGTTAACTGCGGAAGCAGCCACTAGTGAGGGCCCAAGGAGCATCGAAACGCGACACAATTAGGTAGTTGTGTAAACTACCACCCATAAAGAACATTGATAGGGCGTTTGTGTTCGTTTGGGAGCACCTAATAAAGCTCTGGAATGCATGGCGTGTTGATGTCAACAAAATACAGTAAAACGCAACTCGCCCACACCCATATACTCTGCTTGCTAATTTAGTCTCTCCGGGTGCGAGCGAAGGACATACCTGGAGCGCCGTCTCCTACCGCAGTATTTTTGCTCTTTGTACCCAGGTCAATAGCAGTTATTTTGCCGCCATCTGCTTCTGCAACGTAAAGGGTCTCGCCGTCGAGCGAGAGACACATTCCCGACGGTTTGGACAAGCCAGTGGCGACATCAGTCTGACTCTTGTCGCTCAACTTTAATGCAACAACCTTCCCAGCATCTGTTGCACATAACGTTTGGTAAATGAGTCGACAAATGGGTACCCACATGCACATATACTGCCCACCACGGATAATGCGGCGTACAGTGATTGTGCTGCTTCTGTAGACAAAAGGCTGTCCTAAGGCTGTAACATTAAAACCGCCCTGGCGCATGTGGATAGACGCACCCGAAAGGGATATATAAAGTATACTCCCATCATTAGATACTGCTAGTCCTTCCGCTTTGTTTGATAGTGTTACTATATCGGTAAGGATGCCTGTAAAATATGACGTAGCAGAGCTTCTTACGCCATGCCGTTATAGGTGAAGTCTTGCGCACTGCCGGTCCTCGCTGGCTTTCATGGCCAATCGCAAGCTCATTCGAGGGTAAGGGTGATGGTCAGATGATGATTACCTGTGCTTAGATTGACTGAGCTGATGCGCCCCACATCATCGTCTGCTATAACCACTTCGCCTCTTAAGCGGTTCACTGCAATTGCCTTTAGACTGTTGAAAGTTGCCTCTTTTGCTGGACGTCCATCACCACTGGCCCCTCCACTGCCAGACCCCGCAAATGTGTCAACTAGGGGGCCTGACGCGCAATGTAGAAGGCAAGGTCTCACTGTTGAATAGATGAAACGTCTTGCATCAGTACGAAGCCGGCAGAAGCTTTGCTTGCACTGAAGTGCATCAACTCAGTTTTGGCGGAGAGAAGCAGGCCTGCTTGAAGAGCTCAAGCATCCAACTAGGCTGTTGCATACCACTTTGGCAGTAATATCCAGGTGGGCACGGATATCCTTCAGAATTCTCGATGCAGATGGTCCCAGAAGTTGCATTCTCGGGACTATGTGTTGCTGCCCTGCTCTTGCAGACGTAGCCTCCACGACACCTGCCAGTCGGCCACTCAAGAGCCTCGCTTGCACAGTAAAAGCCTGTTGGGCAAGGCGTGGGTGCTGTGGATTTCTCAGGACAGTACTCGCCATAGCTGCAAGTCGTGGGGATGGCAGCGCCTGCGCCTTCAGGGCAGTAGAATCCTACAGGAGAGAACAGGAACAATGGACCAAAGGCGAGTCAATTCCGTCAAAAATGAATCGGCCAAACCGACAACGGTATCCAGGAGAACGTTATCTGCTCCATAGGATACAGCGCCAAGGGAAGGGGTATGTCACAACTATGCTGAACGTTTTCTCGACTGTTTCGAGACAGCTATGAATCTCAGCAGCACATTGCTGACCTGCAGGGCAGTTCGCCATAGCGTTGCTTCCTGATGTTCCTGTTCCTGGGGTGTTGCACATTTGGCCTCCTTCGCAAAGCTGGCAGTCCTCTATGGACGTTGCACCCTCGATTTTACCAAAGGTCCCTTGTGGACAAGGGTACTGATACTGATGTTGAGTGCCAGGGGGACAATAGAACCCGATTGGACAGGGTTTAGGGTCTATTGAGCCAACTGTGCAGTACGAACCTGTTTCAAACAATGGCAAACACACTGACAGGTACAACGCTGAGCTTGTATTCGTAAGAAACGCTGAACTGCTGCAGCGGCCGCCGGCGCACCTTGTGGACATGTGATGCACGATGTTGCACCGCTCTGCGGCTGGTATGTGCCTCCGCTGCAAGGAATAGGCTCTGCAGATCCCTCGGGGCAGTAGTGCCCTGCAGTACAAACTTTGCCATGATCGACGGGAGTTGAACTCCCTTCGCCGCAGAAGAAGCCTGCCAGCGCACCAAACACAACAGTCGAAGTTGTGATTGACTATTGGATGATTGCTTGAGAGAGCGAACACCTCGCGATATCAGACGCTTGGGCCTTTCGTTGCTGTTGACAAGCTGTTTGCACTTCTCACCGGCGCTACAGTACCCTGAAGGAGCTGAAAGCCCAGGCAGGGAGCAGAATTGGCCAGGAGGACACTTTTGACACTGTGGCTCTTCCCATGCACCCCTGGGCACACGGTGCACTACACCTAAGCAGATTTGGTATGATTTTATTTCCACACGACCGTTCGCAGGGTCATTTACTTTTGAAACAGGCAAGGGGTGTGGTGCGTTAGGCTCCAATCAGTGGGAGGATGAATATTTGACGGCAAGATAACACTTAGCGCTGTGTTTAGTTAGGCCAAGCAGCTTACGATGCAGGGAGGTATGTTCCCGCGGGGCACTGGACTTTTGAGTTGGTACCTGCTGGACAATAATGCCCCGGGGGGCATGCATTCGCCGAGTTGGAGGGCTCCTGTGAACCTGCATGCGCGGCATCAAGCCCATACGGCCCTTACCTAGGCTTGACGGAACGCCACAGTGGAGGACATGCCAAACAATCTCTCGCTGAGGGATCCTCAAAGTAACCAAATTGCCAATTGGAGAGCTCCCCTAACCTTCATCGCAGAAGAACCCTGCTTGGCATTCTCCTGAGTGAACTGAAAGCCCCATGGAGGCGCAGTATTTTCCAACGGGACATTTTTGCGGAGTACCAGTTCCTGCGGGGCAGATGTGTCCGACTGGACAGAGACCTGCCTCGACACAGAGTTTTGGATAGAATATGCTTTCAATACCTTCATCTGGAGCTTCCACATTCCCGCACCTGCAAATACATATAGAATGCTTGCTAGTAGACAATGTTGTGTACCGCAGGCTAGGCATAGCCGCCTACCACGAGTACTTCAAAGCTTCTAGCGTGAGAGCTCCGTAGGCGCTGAGCAATCAATAGTGGCAGCTCTGTAGGGTAGGAAAAGAGCACGGACCTGATGTAGAAAGAAGACTCCTTCTCCTCAATCCCAACACATCCTTCTATTCTCTGACACAGATCTTCTGCTTCCTTCTTTGTAGAAAGGGGATCGTTGCTTGAACTGCAGGTTCCCGTTCCCTTGCCCAAAACTCCCGACTCGTACACACATGCTGCACCACATCATGCTTGCAGGTTGGTCACCTCGTCTAAGTCAAGTGTGCATATCGTGATGTAAATCTCCCTGAATTAACACGGGAGGTGGCACCTATTTAGGCTTACCGCTAAGCACTTCGTTAGCATAACGTGCTCCACTGGAGCAGTAGAAGCCCGCTGCGCACTTTCCAGATGGTTCAGCGAGGCCTGCACTGCCGCAGTATTTACCAGGAGGACAGGGCAAGCAGCTCAGTACTGACGCAATTCCCTCCTTTGGATTGTAGAAGCCTAAACGTACAAGCGTAAAAGCGCGAAGAAACAGCTTGTAGCTTACTTGTATGGTGTACTTACCGCGACCAGCATGTTAGCTCCCGTCGAACTTCTGCCCACCTGGAGGACACAGGTATTCCTTGGCATGATTTGATCCTCTAGGGCAGAAAGATCCCTTTGGACAAATATATTTTTTGTCGAAACTCACTTCAGCACCCATGGGGCAGTAGTACCCCCCAGCACATGGGTTGCAGAACGTGCTGCCTGGCATATCTTGGTAGGTTCCCTTTGATTCAGAGAGACACCAGCATGCTGGAACAGCTATTTCTATTCGTAGCCTCTGTAAGTGGATCTCCTAAACTAAGCGCAACAAGGGCAGTCTTTTATACTCACGGGGCGGCACGGGATTTCAAAGCTTGAACCCATTGGACACATATGCCCTACACGACATTTGTTTGCCGGTGGTTCCGCTTGACTCGATCCTTGCACACAGCACACAAGGATGGCCACACTGGCATTTGATCCTGGTATGCTGCGCCTGAGTATCCCTTGGCTGTGAAGAGCGCATGAAGTGCACAGACGTTAGATCCCAACAACCTGAAACGTATCCCGCATGCACCTTACCTTCCTCGCAGAAATACCCCGGTGAACACTGGGCATTTGGCTGAGCAAGGCCTTCGTTCTCACAGTACCTGCAGAAAGGGATAATCATGTTGCTCAGCCAGGAGATTTGTGACGTGGATGGGGAACGGAAATGAGTTGGCGTATGCTTGAGCAGCCACTGTGAAACGTTATCCACTCAATACTTGATTTCGAATTGCAGCGGTGAATGCTTGATGCGACGAGCAAACCTACCAGCCTGCTTTGCATTGGATGCAATCATTCTGGTTGGAGGCACGCGTTGACGGCTGATATGTGCCGGCAGGGCAATGAACAGGGTTTGGTGTTCCCTCAGGGCAATATGAACCAGATGGACATGGCCCATTCCCGAAGGAATCAGTTTCCTGCACAAAAATGGAGAGTACGAGAACATGTATTTTGGTGTTGGAGGGAGAACGAGCTAAGGCATCCATGACAATGAGCTGTCAAGCTGCCGTTGCTGCCATAACTACTATCGACTCTTGTTAGTAGCACAGAAGACAGGGGAACCTCCTACAAGGGGTGCGATGCTTGTACTTCTCGCAGCACAGTAGTAGCCGGCAGCGCAATCTCCTGTGGGGTTTTCCAGCCCTTCCGTTTGGCAATATTTTCCCGCGGGGCACGGCAGGCAGTCATCGATGCTCGTCGCCTTTGTCTTGGGGTTGTAAGTACCCGTAGGGCAATTCTTGTGCATTATTGAGCCCTCTTCACAGTACGTACCCACTCTACAATCCTTTTGGTTCTGCGTTAGCGTGCCCATGCCCTAATCACACAGCAAGGCTCCTCAACCCGTATATGGCCGTGTAATATCTCTAGCTTTTAGAGATTTTAATGCTTGTAAATGGAGGCAAAGAACGTTGTAGCACCTCGGCATCTACGGGCTCAGCGCACCGCTTCGTCACAATAATATCCAGCTGGGCAGGGGCGGCAAGCTGTCATTCCTTGCTGATCAGCATGCGTTCCAGGCTTGCAATGAAGCGCGATGGCGCTCCCCTCAGGGGCATACGTTCCAAGTGGGGCGATTGTACCTTGGGGGTTGCTCGAGCCTTCTTGACAGAAGTACCCAGCCTTGCATGGCCCCACAACAGGATGCCCGTCGACAACAGTGCAGTAAGAACCGGGAAAACATTTCCTGCAGTCAGTGGCTGATGTACCACCTTCGTACGGATTGAACTGGCCATCTACGCATGCTTGAAGTTGCGTCGCTCCTTCTCCGCAGTAGCCGAACGAGGGGCAGACGACACCTGAAAGGGAAGCAGAGCAACATGAGCACATGTGAAGGTGCATGCAGCCAGGGTGCTGGTTGACACTCCAGAACACGTGGCCCCAGAATCGAAGTACACAATCATCGTAAAAATCATTGTCAGGCAAAGCACCTCATTTATTGTAATGAAAATTGTGACCCGCACGGTCCCCTCGCCGTGGAAATTTCCTCGTACACTGGATAAGAGAGAGCGTGGAGAAATGGATTTCTAAGAGCTTGCCACTCAAATTGCCAACTACAAGAATTTGCTGAGGGAAACCCAGGCATTTATATTTTCCGACTGAATGAAGGTTCATTCGTAGCCTATCATTAGCAACCCCAGGGTGGCGAAGCGCTGGGAGTTGCGAGCAATTTTACGGGGGTTCACGCTGCAGCTTGCTATCCTCTGAACATGGTGATGTGTCATGCTCCCTCTCTCTCTCGAGATGCCAATGCAAGATCTGCAGTCTCAAGAGAGCGTTGTGGGTGCGGCCGCTCAGGCAGGTTTGGGTTGAGCAATGGATGCAACCAGCGCTTAAAAGCTTTCAGTTGCCATCACTGCGACAGCGTTCTCCCTTTATACCAATGCCGTGCTGTTAAGATCTGATGCAATGCTTCGATATGCAGTTTGAGGTGCAAGTGACTCATATGTAGGCTGGGCATGTTTTGCTGTACCAGGAACCCTCCACGCGATTAGAGATTAAAACAAGGCATGTGGCATGCGAAGCTCTGCTCAAAATTACCAGAAGTTTGGTGACATATGCGCGAACTAGGAAAATTCCCATTCGTGTATTGGGGAATCTCATAGGTGTTTTGCAGCCAAGTGGCTTTTTTCTTCTCTACACTCACCTGTCAGGCCGTCTCGAGGAGCAGGGTTGGTGGCTCTTTCCAGACAGAGTGTGCCAGCAGCGCATGGCCCTGTCGGTGCGGAAAGCCCGGGCGTTTCACAGTAGTGCCCTGCAGGGCAAGGCTTGCAGTCTTGTTCGGATTGGGCTCCCGGCGAATCCCTGCATACACGTTCGAATGTTGAGGGCTTTTCTGAACAACCTCCTTGGTTTCCTCCAAAGCCGCTAATGCGCAGGGGACGCTTTCTCACCGGACAGTCCCTTTTGGGCAGACTCTCGGCTCAGAAGACCCCACGGGGCAATAGTTCCCTGCTGGGCATTCTTTTGGTTGAACCACCGCAGTGCCACAGTACTTTCCAGCGGGACACGGTATGCAGTCGTTCGCCGATCTTCCCCCGGGGTTCGGATTGTATGTTCTGCTCGTAAAATACACAGGGGGAGTCCCAAAAACACTCCCAAGAAGTAACTGCTCATAAGCTCTAATTTGTGCAGCCCCTATGTAAAGTCACTTGTGCTATACCAGTCTATCATCAACCGGAGTTAGACATCAGCGCCATGCTAGTATCGTGTACGGCAGAAAAATCGCTCCTTACTGAGCCGGGCAGGCGACCTGATCAGGCTTGGATGACCCCGGTGGACAGAAATAACCCTGTGAATTTATACGGTTCCCACACAAAAAGGATCTGTGCAGAGACGGAAGCGCACGTATGTACCAGGGTAACTCATCTTTCTCCTGCAACTAACCTCTTTGCAGGGGCCAGTGCCATTGGCAGATACCGAGCCTGGTTCGGCGTAAGTCCCCGCCTTGGATATCATGCAGTCCGATACTCCCGTACGTCCCACCAAAGGATTGTACGTCCCGCCTGGACAGGGGATTGCTTTTGCCGTTCCGTGCGGACAGTAGTGGCCTTGGGGACACTTCGTACTCTTTGACAGGTCAGCTGCAGCAAAATAGAACTACTCGGAAATGCCATATCAGTGACAGACAAAGGGATAAGACCCTCTGGGGCGAGACTGCCGGAGTTTCCACTTACCCCACCCTTCTTGGTCGCACAGCATTCCGGCGCTGCATCGATAATTCGACAGCATATCGTATGTCGTGACATCTAGTGGACAGTATGAGCCCTAAGACACAAGGGGGCAGTAGGGTAGTGCCCTTAGGGTCTGTTATCACGGTGGATTCAGAAGAATATTCGTCTTAATTCCAACAATAATTCATTAACTATTGGCTTGCTAAACTGTTGTACGGCTTGCCTTGGGACACTTGATACATATTGCGTCTCCTTCCTTAGATGTATACCCCGGCCCACAGGGTGTTCGCACCCCGCCGGAGCAGCTGTAACCCGACGGGCACCTCTTGCACATTGAGGGATGGTCTCCTGGACCGGGATACTTGGTGCCGTAGCCATCGCTGTAAGTGCCTACGTGCACAAGGCTCAAAAGGACCGTGCGGGAGAGTGAAAGGAAGCAAAGAAATGCGGTTGTGCACTCTTCGCCTCTAAACGCCACTGCACATTCATTACTGTGTGCTTCTTCAGAATTGCCTCTTCAGAGTGGAGTCACCCGCAGGGCAGTCTTGAGGCGCAGAGGAACCTTGGGGGCAATATTTCCCTGCTGGACAGGGCAGGCATTGCATAACGTCCTGCAGGCATTTGAACAGTGCAAAGCGGGGTGGATATATACAACGTCGGACACTTCTACAAGACATCGCCCCCTTAAGCAGCATCTGCTTACGATAGCCGAGGTGTTGGCGTTGTAGGTGCCTCCTGGACACGGGTGGTGGTCAGGGGACTCTGTCCGCTTGGGACAGTACGACCCCCTGGGGCATGGTATCTGTTCTTTTGAGGCTTGCGGACAGTAGTAGCCCGGCAGGCAAGAAATGCACTCGCCAGCATCCGCCAGCGCTGGAACATTGGAGTAAGTCCCAGGTGGACAGGGCCTTTCCTTGCCTACTATTGTACCTGGGGAACGCATTTCATAGTTAATTCAACATAGCCAACGTGAAACACGCAGGCTACAGCGATACTAGCTTTAATTAACACTGTTAGCATTCCTCCGGCATTTGTTTGAGCAAACCCCACCGGTGGGACAGTAGTATCCTGCAGGGCACTTCTTGTATTGGTTTGTCTCGCTATCACAACTCTGAATGGGAAAGCAACGGCACAGCAGTTCTACTGAGTGGTTCCCGGGACACAGGGTGCCGGCAAAATTCAGAACTGTGCTGCTTTCATTAGCGCAGCTCCTGTAGTGGTCGGCCGAATTGCAGCACACTGTGAATGCAACAGGTGGATAATGACTGCGAGAATCGCAGGTGCAGATGTTTTGTTGCACATTGGCAGATGTGTGTCTATTTGAGGAACCCTCAGCATCCCCACAAACATAATAGTATGCAGAAAATGCATTGCATGATAGTATGCAACGGATATATATTAATAATATGATTACTTTCCCGGTGATTCGTAGCCGGAACATTTCGGCCGAAACTAAGCCTGGCAGCAAGTGCTCTAGGTGCGTGCAAGAGCCAGCTGGTTAGATGCTGATAAGAACTTCAAAGTGCTGAAGGCTAGCTGTTGTAGGCGGAACATGCAATGCAGCTCAGGCGCAACTCACTATGCGTGGATGGCATATCTCGCAATGTAGTGTGGAAGTGCCGGTCTGAAACCGACTGATGTGGCCGGGGGGGCACGACAGCTCCTTTCCTTTCCAGGTGTAGGGCTTGTGTGAAGTGTTTCTAAGAAGCACAAAGAGGGCAACCGCAATCGTAGCAGCAGCGCAACGCCTTCCGATCAACCACTTTTCATCTACGCTATTGCTAGTACATTCACCAGAACTGGTGGGCAAGTTGGTGAGAACAGCTGCAGAGACATATATCAACACCGGGGCCAATGTGAACGTAAACATGAAATCGTAGCGAACCTTCTTCGTAGCACTAGGGTCTCAGCTGTTTGTACCGGCATGAAGCCTGGAGGGAAGATGATGCACGAATCAACCGAGATGGCTGCATCTGTCTTGCTGAAGGTTCCCAAGGGACAAGGTATTGCCTGTGATGAATTGGGACAGTAGTAACCCATGGGGCAGGTAATGCAAGCGGACATATCGTATGCAGCTGCACAGAAAGCGCACGCATTTTCCTTGGCGCTTCGTTAATAATGACTTCAAAAGTGTAATGCAGTGGGGGTTGCACGGCTTCTGAGGAACGGATCCCTCTCAAAAGCTTAGCTTCCGAAGCAAGGCAATCGAGGCAACCAAAAGCAGTTCAAGCCACCGGACTTGCCTTGATCCGCTGGGCTGCCTCTTATGGTTCCGAGGGGACATCTTTGCTTAGGTGTCCCCCGCCCCATGCATATATCTTCAGTTGGGCAGATCTGTACAGTAGTCGACCCCTCTGGGCAGTATGTGCCTGGGGGGCACTCATAGGCTTGATGAAGAGACATTATATTTGCCGAGACGCTGAAGTAACCTAGAACAGAACATGGAGGGCCATGGCAACCGCTGTCAACCACTGGGTGTTTATGGTTTAAGAAGGGTCGAACTCTGCTCACACGTCGCTGAACTTGCTAGTGGAATGGCGGCGGCATGGGTGGTGAAGACCCTACGCCCTTATAACTATATAAACGCGCCCATGTACCATACATATGTATATGGAGAATACATATTATATATGTTCAATATGCGTTGGCGATAAGTAATATGCAGTGAACCTAAGCATTCTGTGATTGCTCACCCTCCGGTAGCGGTATTGGGGCTGACGCCCCAGGAGGACAGAGGGTCCCTTTGTCGCACTGGAAGCATCTGCCTTTTGCACAGTACCCTAAGGGGCCATATCCAGAGCAGCCAGTTCCTTGGTTGTAGGTTCCTTCGGGGCACATCGGGTCTGCACGCGGACCGATGCTGCACAAGAAGGAACCACATCCCCCCGACCATCGACTCTAAACGCTACGCGGTTTGTGACAGCGAGCATAACCATGCACATAATCAGAAGCACATCTAGAAATGCAGGACCAAATGCACATGCGAAACGTGCCGTCACAAAGATACAGTTCCTGCTAGCGGAGAGACGCGACACGCGAAAGTTGCTAACCAAAAGAACATAAAACCCCATTGAACGTTGCAGAACTCTGTACGCTAGACCCTAAATGCGTAGCTCGAAGACGTAAACCCTAAACAAAACAGGCTCAAGCAGTCGAAGCTGGAGTATCCGAAGACAGCGCACTTTTCGCGAATCTGCAAGTCCAACAAGCTCTCGGCCAGCGGCTCCGCTTTTGAGCAGACTCCTGCGCCTTCCAGAGAAGTATAGCCGGGCTTGCATGCCTTGGGGTCTTCTTCTTTACAGTGAAATTCTGAAAAAGCAAGCATCCAACACCCCCGAGGCACAAAATTACAGGTTAAATTTTGGTGTATTTCCCTCGTAGCAGTGCATTAAGCCAGAGACAGAGTACAAGGAGGCGGCTCTCAACAGATGGAGAAACAAGGATTGAGAAGCGTAAAAGGCACAAAAGAGCGACAGCGAATGCACAACTCAGCTATCCAGAAGCATATTGTCGATAGAAACGCAACAAAATTATCTGCTGAATCTGCTCAATTAGATACATCTATTGGGGGAAACAGCTTCGAGCGGTATTTCAACGGCCTAGAGCCAGTTGATCCTAACCTGTAGAATTCGTAACAAGAGGGAGAGCTGAGCTACCAAAGAATGCCCCACTAGAGCCGAAATCTAAAGCGTATTCATCCTTCTCACCCTAAACCTATCTAGCTTTTTGAGATGAAGACAATCCAAAACGCAGGGTTCAAGACTATTCAAAAACGCATAGTACAGCAACTGTGGTTAGCTAGCTGGGCAGCTAGCTAGTCAGTAAGCCAGCTAACGTACCTCTGGGGCAAGGCTTGCACAATTGCTGCCCCATGGGGGCGAACTGCGTCGGCCGTTCACAGGGGACCTTTTCAAGGGGTGTTGGGCAGGCGTGGTTCTTAGGACAAGGTAGGCAAGAAGGCATTCCCTGCGCCAAAAAAAGGAAATACAAATCTAAACCCTAAACTAAAACCATAGTCCACAAAGATAAGCCAAGCTGTGGCTGGTGGCCCCGTTTCTTGTTTAGAAACTTATCAGATCAAAGCGTTGCTGGTAGCTGCAAGCCTTACCTCTCTGAATATCATATTCTACAGATGATCTAGTAAATATATATAAATTCCGCATGCATACATATATACATATATGCACGCACTGTATCACGTACAGCCCTCGACTGAGTGCATGAAACATACTACGAAGGTGCAAGTGTATGCCAAACATACGTAAAAGATACGTTACATATACATACTTATGTATATGGTGAGCTAGTCATGTGTGCATATACGTGAGGGGGCGTTTGCTTCATGTGTGCATTTCGCGTGATCGTACAGACCTCCATAGAATATTCGCCGGGGTTGCAAGGAACAAGCGGGGTTGTCCCAGGAAAAGAAAAGCATTTAAATCCCGCTGGACATGGGCTGCATGCAGTTGATCCAGCTTCACTGTACGTCCCAGAAGGGCAGGCCTGCGGTGTTAGCGGACATCGGGCGTTTCCGGTGCAAAGTTAAGGGTTATTGTGTGTTCGCAGGGGTTTAAGGGCCAGCCGAGTGCACTGCGCGGATCTCCCTTACACAGACGCACCTTCATGTCAGCGAACTTGGCTGTGGGGCAGAAGCTGCCTGCGGGACACTGCGTGCACGTTGCAGATCCCGGGAAGCTGTAGGTCCCGGGGAGACAGGGTTGGGGCTCCTCGACCCCCTTCAGAGGACAGAAGTGACCCTCAGGACACTCGACGCATACCCCCTCGCGGCTGTAGCGCCCCGGTGGGCATGCAACAGCCTCGCGCATCGTCACGCATTCGCTGCCTGCACGCACCAGCGCCAAAAATCATATTCCTCCAAAATATAAATAACTATATATAGATATTATACTCTTCTAGCCTCAACGTCTAAGCTCTGAAGCCTAAACCCTAAACAGAACACTTGAACACAAAGGAGTAAGCAGCAAGAGGAGATGGCTTGCCATTGGTGCACAGTCGACAAGTTGCCGCCCCCGCATTGGCTGTGGCTCCTTCAGGGCACGGTTCCGGGCGAGTAGCTCCTTCAGGACAGAAGTGATTTTCTATACACTGCAAGCAGCCGGAGGTTCCTGGCAGCCTGCAGGAACCACCGCCCAGCAGCAGAGCGTCTCTGACAGAGTCGAATGTGCTGGTGCTCGAGGTGTTGACCGGCTGTGTTTCTTGCTGTTGCTATTCGTAGATGTTGGGCTGGTGGCGGCCCTCATATATTGTGATTAATTGCGTGCAAATAACTGGGGTCCTGGGGTGTTAATTAACAGTTGATGCTGGGACGAAGGATCCTGAGTACTTTAAGGGAATGAGATGAAAACCTAACTGTAGTTGTATTAGATGCGACTTCATTTCAAAAGGAGTGCAGAGCACTCAGAAGGCTGCCGCAGAGTGCAGAGTGTCTGGCATTTGGTTTTGGGCTTTAGGGTTTAGCCGAGCACTTCGGAATGGTTTGCTGGGGGTGGAGAGGAGATAAAGGGTGCACGTATGTGAGGTAGTCACTGTGCAGAGACACAGGAGACACTTGCCTGTAGGTGCCTGCTGGACAGTGAGAGAAGCGAGCTGTGCTGCAATGCTGTCCGGGGAGGCAGGGGCAGTGGGCCCTGTAGGTGCCATCAGCGCAGTGCTGCTTGTACACAAGAAGCTGTACAGAAGATTCCCCTGTTTCCTCTGAAGACGAGACAAAGCGGCGGTCTCCCGATTCCATAGACACCAAACACGACTCTAGACCGCTTGGCTGCGTCATATCTGAGCAGCACGCAGAACCGCAGAACTCGTCAAAAAAAGTGCAGCATCAGTAAGGACTCTGACGTAAATACATCCCGTCAGAAGAAGAGCACCAAAACCACAACAGCAGCAGAACCCATATCCCGGGCAGCAGAAGCAAAAGCACCAGTAGAACCAACAACCGCAGCAGAACCACTACCAGCAGCAAATGCAACAGACCTACAATAGCACAATAGCAGCTGAAATCACAACGGCCGCAGTACAGAACCCACAACAGCAGCCATAGCAGATCCCACAGCAGCAGCAGCACCAGCAGCAGCTTTGGTCTCACCGCCATCATCCGTGGCCTTCATGCGAAACGTGGCCCCTCGTTGCCACTGCAGCGGAGTCAAGATTAAGCTGGTGCTGCCAAGATGCTGCAGCAGCGGCCCGCAGTTTAAAGTAATTATTACAACTTCGAGGGGCTGCAGAGACAGACGGAAGGACAACCCTACGGAAGCCCCCGCTAAGACGGCTCCAGGCACCTCCGTCCACACAACCTGAACATATACACACAGGCGTAAACCATAAACCCTCAACCGCACGCACGAAGCAATACGCTATTTACAACAAATCCATACCGTAAACCCTTAAAAGTAGACCCTAAGACCCTATGGCACTCGAAGTGTTTGTTTCACTCGAACTCCTAACCCTAAACCTTAAATCGGAAGGCCCACATTGTGAACCGCAAACCCTTATCGGTAAATCGCAAACCCTAATCCGTACATCCCAATCCCTAGTTCGTAGGACGTAAACCCTAATCCGTAAGCCGTAAACGCTACCCTAATCCATAATCTATATATGGATAACCCTTGTAGTTAAAACCCATGCTGGCCCAGTTGACTTACCTTTCCTGCCCCTTCTTCGGCAACCCAGAAGAAAAGTTCTTCTTTTTCTTGGATCTGAAGGTCCCCTAATTTTCCTTGAAAATGATGGGAGACAGCAACTTTGCTTGCAGCGTGGCCCGAGGCCATGGTCTTTGCAGCAACCTGCAGGGAGGCGCGCCAGACTTTCTACCGTTCCCTGTGTATTATGAAATTGCGGGTGCTACTGCATTGCTTGTGCTGCAGCAGCAGCTGCTGCTTGTTGCGTGCTCCGTTCTGCAGCTTCCAAGGGGTGTGCATGCATCAGCAGAACACTTGCGAAGGGAGCTGACCATGGGGGCTGCCGGAAACAAAGAAGTAACGCGGAGTTGAAGACGCTGAGCTTTTTCCCAGTTCTCTTCGTTAAAGGTAAGGAGCGGCGGCTCTATCACAACACCTACAGGGGCTTCCATTGCCACGTTAATGGGGCCACCCAAGGGGCTGAATCCCAGCGCCACTTCATAAGATAACTGCAGTGGGCCCAGCGCACACATGCAGTTATTCCCCATGCTTGCATATATCCTTGCATGCATCCTTGCGTGCATGCATACATGCATGCATTTGCATGCATGTATGCATGAAAAGATGTGCGTGCATGCATGCGCATGCAAGCATGGATAGACAGATTCACGGGGTACCCCGGGGTTTTGCGCCCACCGAGTCGCCCCGTCTGAGTAGCAGTGGTTGTTGGGGAAGTTGGGAGAAGCGGAGGGAAATTTTATCGTCATCGAGAACTCTAACATCAATAAACGGCTCATCCAGCCACTCGACTGCCTCGGGGCCCCACATGGGGTCTTCTGATTCCACACGCAAGTGCACGCGGTAGTGCTGCAGTAGCAAACCCGAGCCTGGATCGGAGACGTCGGTGCTGTACCGCACGTGCGGGTCGTCCAACGCCTAAACAGACAGCAGCAGCAGCAGCACAAGCAGTAGCAGGTAGCAGCAAGCAACAAGACAAACATGACGAGACGATTCGTCTTATATTTTCGTTGGAATCTCAGTGGACCCTCAGTCTACGTGGTATGGAGACAGTAGGCCTGTGTTCTGTAGCTGTCGCTCTTTCCCCAGGCCCCTTGGAGCTCAGTGCGCATGCATGCATGCATGCATTTGGGGCTTTGCGTCTTGCTCTGCTCTGTGCTGTGTCGTACTTTGATCTGCAGGGATCGGGAGACACCTGTTTCCTTGGGGTTGAAGGTTATCACTGTGGGTTCAACACTAAGAGGGAGAGGCAAGCTATCGACAGCAGCAGCACCTGACAGGGAGATAGGTTCCATATGAGACACATGAATGGTAATGGGAGCCCTGGGTCCCCTGCTAGATAGCAGGGCCTCAAGGGACACGGAGACAGTGCAGGAATCGCTGCCGTCGCTGCTGCCCTCCAGCAGCAAGTCACAAGCGCCGATTGTTATTAATGAGGAGACACGGACGCGGGTGCTTAGAGAGTGGCCCTTCACTGTCCCTTCGCAGCTCGTGCATGCAGCCTGCAGACACAGACACCTCAATGACGAGGAAACAGAGAGATAATCACTGGTCTTAGGCCCTGCATGCAAAGAGCAGCCCTAGAAGCAGCAGCTCCTCCTGCAGCCGACACAGCAGCAACTACATCAGCAGCGCTAGCCAGCGCTAGAGAGCTGCAGCACCTTGAGGTACATCAGATCTTTGGAGGGGGGAAAGGCGAGTTCGCTAAAGACGGCTATGCCAGTGTCTCTTTGCGTTTTTGCTGCAGTTGCTGCTGCTGATGCGAGGAAATCAACGCTTGCTGCTGCTGCATCCTCTCCTTCTGTCTCTCCTTCTGTCTCCTTTCTAGCGCTAAGGTGGATTGTATGGGTGTCAGGCACGGCGTTGCCGTGTGCATCAACGAGCTGTACAGACACCTGAAACCGGTTGCCTGCTGCGATTTCTGGGGGGGGCTGCAGCAGGAAGTGCAGCGCAGCAGGAGCTGCTGCAAGCACGTTAAAGGGCTGACTAAGGGCCTCAAGAGGACGGCCAACTGAAGGAGACAACAGAGAGAAACGGAGACGGTATCCCTCCCCTGCTGTCCCCACTGATAGCCTTGGAAAGGAGACACTTCCTTCTTTAAAGGGTCTCTGTATAACCCCCATTACTCTTGCAATGTCCCCTTGCCCTGTAAGAACATACGTAACTCGTCCTTTTGCATTTTAATCTCCTTCTTGTGCCCATGTTCATCTAGGATGTCTACGTAGATTTCAAATGTTTGTTTATTGTGTCTTTGCTGCTGTAGTGAGGCTCATACAACCACACCTGCATGCGTTTGGGGGCTTGATTTGCCTGGCAGCAGCTGCACAATGACTTCCCCTCGTATGTCTAATATTTTGTTATTAAATGCATCGACTGCCTGTAGCACTGGAGCGGGATTCAGTGGCATTCCTGCAGTAGCGCTTTCAGCAGGCTGCTGCACCAGCTGCAGCGCGAACAATGGACCACTGGTCACATGCACCTCTCGAGATATTGCCGAGAGGCAACCATCGCATGCAGCTTTTATCTGGTAAACCCCCGTCTTTAAAAAGCGCCATTCCTCCACAGAAGCAACGCCTGCAGCAGGTACGCAGCAGCAGCCGCTCCTCAGCAAACTTGTTAAGCAGACTAGCAGCAGCAGCAGCAGCAGCAGATGTCGTGGCACAGCATCCTCTTCTGCTTTTTTGAGCACTAGAGAACCACAAAACCAAGTGAGAGAGAGGGGGCGACATGTAGCAAAGTTCCAGCAGCAGCAGCGACAGCTGCGATTGTTATGAGCTAAAAAAGGCATGCATGGCTGTTGTTGATTGGCTGCAGGTGCAGGAGTTGTCTGTCTCCAAGACCTGCAGTTTGCTGCTTTCTTCTAATTTTAATTCTATTTTTGTGTCTTTACCATTCTCTCTCTGCTGCTCACTGTTAGCAGTCAAAGCGTCCTTGCATGTAGCCCTCAATGTATCTACACTTGCATGCATGCAGCTTCATGCATGCATTGACGTGCATGGCTCAACGTGTCTCTTTGCGCAGGTATTTATGTATGCATGCATGCATGCATGCATGCACGCCTGTATGCGCATTGTGTGGGGCTTACCTTTGCGTGCCCTGACGACAGAGCTTCCCGTGAGGAAAGATCTGTCTGCTTCTTGAAAAGCTACAGTGTCTCCTTTTATTTGTGGGGTGTCTCCTTTTTTATGTGTAATAGAAAAGAAACTAAAGTGCAGCAAACCATCGAAGGAAGGCAGCAAAGCCCCATCTTTTCCTGTTACATGCAGCAGCGCATGCAACGGCTCCCCTGCATGCACTACACTAGGTAACTCCTCAAAAAAGAAAACCAATTTGTCTATAGGTAGAGCCTGCAAAGGCCTATCCTCATCAGCAGCAGCAGCAACATCACCATCGACAGCAGCAGCAAGTCGTTTGCCCTCTTCAGGGTTGTCGTCCCCCAAGGGAGCGGCAGCTGCTGCTTTCTGCACCTTTACATCTTCTTGCGTGTCTGTTGTATGCTGCACGGGGACGGCAGCAGCAGCAGCAGCAGCTTGTGCATCGGCAAAAGCAGCAGCAGCTTGCTGCCAACCCAGGCGCTTTGGCCCGTAGGGTAGATCTGGGGAGGGAGTGAGCGAGAGACGCTCCTGCGGGCGTTCCCCAGGATCGTCCGGGTGACCCTCCCCCCGCCGACTTCCTCCTTCTGCTGCAGCAGCAGCAGCAACAGCAGCAGTTTCAGCAGCTGCTGCTGTTGTTGCGTCCTCTGCTGCTGTTGGTGGGAGGACGAGAATCCAAAGACAGCAGCAGCAGAGCAGCAGCAGCGGGGGGATGAGTCGCAGCATCATGGGGGGTGTGGAGCAACCGCTAGCTGTCCGTGCTGCTGCTGCTGCTGCTGCAGGAGGTGATGCTGCCCTCCCTGCTGCCCCAAGAAAACAAATGAATATAAATAGAACAAAGAAAAGAAGCAAAACGAACAAAACGAAGAAAACAAATAAAATGGTGAGAAAATGTAAACAGCTAGTCAATATAAAAGGATACAGTTTGTTACTGCTGTTCGTCCCTTTTCGTCTCCTTTCCCCCTTACAAGACAGTTAAATAATAAATAACAAACAAAATAAAATAAATAACAAGTCAAACAACATAGATAAATGTATAAACAGCTTGCGGTGTCTCCTCGTGGGGCTGCTGTGTGCTGCTGCTTGCGGCAACAGCAACAGCAACTAGTTGTAGTGCGTAGAGGGGGAGCAGCAGCAGCTTGTTTGTCCCTGTCTCTGTTGCTGCTGTCTCCTCTCATTGTTGTGCTATTACAACGAGCCAATAACTCCTTTAAAAACTTACTTTAACTCTACATATAACTTCATAGAGGGGGAGACACTCGGGGCTGCTGTCTCCTGCTGCTGCTGTCTCCTTGCTGCAGTCCCCTACCAACCGTGCAGCAGCAAAACAAGTCACTTAGCAGCAACAGGAAACACAAGTAATGAATACAAACTCATTTAACACAACGACTCAATACAGTTATTTGCTGCTGCTGCTGTTGCTGCTCTTCATACTGCTGTTGCTGCTGTGCTGCCGTTACTGCTGCTGCTGTTGCTCGTAGCAGCAACACAAGGTCACCTCACGAGACAGCAGAAGCTGCATATACACCTGAAATTGACATCTTATTTATCACGAACTCCGTTTTATATTTTAATAAAATAATAAAAACATTAGTTTTTATTTTTGCTCTAAAAGAAAGTAAAAAGATATCTGCTGCCGTCAGCAGCACAGAAAGCCTCAAGGAGCCTTGTAGTAAAGCAGCAGCAGCAGCAGCAGCAGCAGAGGCAGCAGCAACAGCAGCAGCAGCAGCAGCATCAATAACAAAAACAGCAGCAGATGCAGTGTCATACGAGGGATTTTGCTTACGAACTGCCTTCCTCTCACTGTGGGCGTTGCTGTCTCTTTGCTGCTGTGTCTCTGTAGCTGTCTCCTTTTGTCCCCTCCTTTCTTAACTTTGTCTCCACAAGAGACAGCAAGGAAAGAAGATACTTTTATTTTTTTTAATTCCTCTGCTTGTCTTATTCCCCATCATTATACTTTTTCTCTTCTTCAAGGAGACACGAGACACATCCCTTACTGCTGCCCAGCGGTAGAAGCAAACAGCAGCTCCCCTAAACCACCATGTGCAGCAGCAGCAGCAACAGCTACTGCTACTGCTGGTGCCGCTGTTGCTGCTTCTCCCTCAGCTGCTGTGTACCACCTCAGGGATTTTCTGCGCTGCTTACTGGAGCATAAGTAGCATTTTCCCACTTCGCGACTCCACTGGTGCTGCTGCTGCTGCTGTTGCTGCTGCTGCTGCCAGATAAACTTGCTGCTGTTGCTGCTGCTGCGATGGACTCGGAGGTATGCGACCGTTTGCAGTGCATGCTGCACTACGCGCTGCAGCAGCGTCTGCTGAGTTCCGCGTTGGGGGTCTGCAACAGGGGCTGCTTCTACGCCGACAGCAGCAAGGACAGCGGCAGCAGGAGTAGCAGCGGCAGCGGGAATGTGTTTGTTTTGTGGCGTGCTGTAGCTACAGCCCTTGACCACAGGCCGCAGCAAGCGCTGCTGCTGCTGCGCAGCTTGGAGAGACAGCAGGCAGCAAGTAATGGGGGAGAAATAAAAGAGGGGACAGTTTCATTGTGGTGTCTGCAGCAAGTGCAGCAGGCTATTTTGCTGCTGCAGAAAGGAGACAATCAATACAAGTGCGTTCCTACCCTTTCCTCTAAAGAATCCTGTAAACAGAAGTAGCATTTTGCTGCTTCACACTTCAACTGGTGCTGCTGCTGCTGCTTCTGCTGCTGCCAGATAAACTCGCTGCTTCTGCTGCTGCCGTTTTTTTTTCCCTTGGCATGCATGTCTTTGTATGCAAAGAATAAAATAAAAGGAGAGGAAAATGTTAATCTTCTCAGGGTCGACTCTTTGGTGTCCCCTGCTGCCTCACTGAAGACCAATGCTGCTGCTGCTGCTGCAGCAGCAGCAAAGGGACAGGAGAACGACAGCAGCCTGCTGCTCGTAGCCTCAGCTCTCTCGTACCTCGGTGACTTTGTGGGGGCTTTTGCTGCCTTGCAGGTCAGTTCTCCTCGTATATGCTACCGCTACTGCTGCTGCTGCTGCATCTGCTGCTTCTTCTGCTGTTTTTTATGCATGCATTATGCAGGCTATGAAGACGGAGACAGAAGAAAGCTGCTGCATAGCGGGGTGGCTGCACTTAGAAGTGCATGCAGCACTACACAGACAGCAAGAACAGCAGCAGCAGCAACTGCCGCCGTCGCACAATCAACAGCAGCAACAGCAGCAGCAGGAGCAGCAGCAGCAGGAGCTTGCAGCAGCAGAACGCTACTTCCAGAGGGCGCATCAGCTGAGTCTGTTAGGGAAGAGAGGTACCCCCTCTCCCTTGTCGCTTCTTGGTGTTGCAGAGGTACACCGCAGAAAGAGTCAGTGGGAACAGGCAAGTATTATTAACTGATTAATCAATTAATTATTTAATCAGTTAATTATTTAGTTAATTAATTAACTAGTTAATTAATTATTTAATTATTTATTTAATTAATTAGCCAAATATGCAAAAGTGTACGATGATGACATGCAACACTTTTCCTGCCGCTTGCAGCAGCAACAGCAAATGCCTTCCCCTATTTAGTTGCCGCCCCTTCAGCTGCTCATCTGCCTATACAACCTATGGAGGTTGCTGCTGCTGCTGCTACTGCTGCTACTGCTGCTGCTACTGCTGCTACTGCTGCTGCTGCTGCTACTGCTGCTGCTGCTTCTCCTGCAGGCTTTGGGGCTGGTGGGGTCGCTGCAGTCTCGAGAACCGTGGTTTGCTGCTGCTGCTTTTCACCGTGCGCTGCTGCTGCTGTCGGTATCTCGTTGGGATGAAGCAGCAGCAGCAGCAGCAACATGTGCCGCAGCTGCACCCCCATCTTCCAGCGGCAACGGCGAGTTGCAGCAGCCTGCTGCGCTGCTGCTGTTGCTTCTGCAGCTCTGCAGCAACACACACTCACCAGCAGCTAGCTGCAGCAGCCCCAAGGAGATACTTTGCGCATTGTCTGCTTCTCTTAAGACAGAAGTATGTAAAAGGAGACACTGCTGTCTCCTGTCTCCCTTTTGCTGTTGTTCTTTTCCTTCTTTTGCCGTCTAAACAACTAAACTCTACTACCACTATTACTATTACTATTACTATTACTATTACTATTACTATTACTATTACTATTACTATTACTATTACTATTACTAGTACTAGTACTAGTACTACTACTACTACTACTACTACTACTACTACTACTACTACTACTACTACTACTACTACTACTACTGCGAATGTTGCTGTTAATGTTGCTGCCAGTGCTGCTGTTACTGCTGTGGTTGCTTCTGTTGCTGCTCTGGAGTCCTTTTAGCGCCGCATGCATCTGTGCTTCTGGCTGGTGCAGGAGCCACCTGGCTTTTCGTTTTGTTTGGACGTGTCTCGAGCCCTTTGCTGCTGCTGGGGCTGTCTATACAATGACTGCAGCAGTGACAGCAGCAGCACCGGTAGCAGACTAGGAGATGTTCTGGAGGCGACACTGTCTCTGCTGCAGCAGGGGAGGGCGCAGCTGCAGGCCTCCAATGAGGCTGCTGCTGCGCCGCTGCTGCTCGAATACACTCGAGAGACAGCGCAGCAGCTGCTGTTATGCGGCAGGCTTGTAGAGGCGGAGCGCGACTTTGCAGCAGCAACAGCAGCAGCAGCCACACCGCAGCAGCAGCAAGCGGCTTTTGAAGGAGCAGCACTGAGCTGCCTCCTCCAGGGAAAAACCGCCGAAGCAGCGCAGCAACTAAGACTGGCTCAAGGCGTCAATGTTAGGCCTGCTGTCTCACTGCTCCTGCTGCTGCATACACAGCCAGTCTTGCTGTCGCGCAACATAACTTGGGAGGCTTCTGCAGCAGAACGATGCTCGCTTTGCTGCTGCATGCATCTTTTTGTTGCTGTTATTGCTGCAGGCGGCAAACTGCAGACCCACTGCAACTCAAATTTTGCTGCGGTGGGAGTTAGGAGGCAACTGCAGCAACTCAGCAGCAGACTGCAGCAGCAGCAGCAGCAGCAGCAGCAACGACGGGAAAAGCAACGGCAGCAACACAAATAACACAAGCGGCAACAACATCATCAACGGCAACAACGGCAACAAAAACAACGACGACAGCAACACCAGCAGCAGCAGCAGCCTTGCCGAGCTGGCTGATGGATTGCGTGCTGCTGCAGCAACATGGAGATGGCAGCTGCAGCGTGCATGCGGTTTTAAGTTATATGGGGCTTTAGATGCCCCTCGATGGACAATTGTGTGCTCGCGGCTGCTGCATGCAGTGTCTCTTGCTGCATGCAACCAAGCCCCAAACATAGACAAGTAGGCTGCTGCTGCTGCTGTGCCGCAGCAGCTGCTGCTTCTACCCCTGTTGTTCTGTTGCGGAGAGGCAGCCAACAGCAGCGTATGTATGCAACAGCAAATACATAATCGCGAAGAAGGCACCAAGGAGACACTTCCTGTGCATGCGTCTGAATGCAGCCCCATTGAGCCACTAGGGTTTTGGAGGGCCACTGCACCCATAGCTGCCGCAACAGCCGCAGAGCAGAAGCTGCTGCGGGAGTTGCTGAACCAGGTTGTTGAGATCGCAACGACGCTGCTGCAGCACATACCTACTCACCTTCATGCTCAGGTGAGGTGCTGCTGCGGCTGCATGCATGCAACCTCAGCACAGCAACACACGGGTTATATGGGCCCTAGCGCAGCTCAAGGGGCTCTACATGTGGAAGGAACAACGTGGGTGCTCCTGCTACTCTTGGTGCTGCTGTTGTATTGGCTGCTGCTGGTGTTGCATTTGTTGTTGCTGCTGGATTTGCTACTGCCGTTGATGCTGTTTTCAGCTGCTTCTGGTGAGGGCGCTGCTGCTTTCTGGGGACCTGCAGCGCTGCTCAGACCTGCTGAGCTCGTTAGAGAAGCAGCACCAGGGGGAGACAGCTGCTGCTCTGCTGCTGCTGCTGCATGCGCGCTGCTGTTGCTTGGCGGAGAAGCCTCAGCAAGGCCTTGACTATTTGCTGCTGGCCTTTCAGCAGCAGCCCCATCTGCAGCAGACCTCCGCATGCATACTGTTGCAGGGTGAGCTGTCGGAACACTGGGCAAGCGGGGAAGAGCAGCAGTAGCAGCAGTAGCTGCTGCTGGGGAGGGCCTTCTAATCTCAAAGAGATTGCTGCTGCCTTCCTGTTGTGCTGCTGCTGCTGCTGCATGCAGCTTCGCTGCAGGTGCAGCTAAACTGCATAGAAGAAGCTGTACAGACACTTGAGCCAGCAACGGCTGACAGCTGGTGCCGGGCATTGTCTCGTGCTAGCAGCAGCAACAACAGCAACGGCAACAGCAACAGCAGCAACACCAGCAACGGCAACAAGTGCATGTGCGGGGAGATTGCTGCAAGGAATCTGCGGTGGGCTAGGAGGCTGCGGGGTGTCTCTCCACTGCCGCTGCAGTGTACAGCAGCAGACCGCCTCGAGTTGCTCCTGCTGCTGGTGCTGCTGCTCAGTCGGCAGCAGCAAACAGATAAAGCAAAAGAGTTACTGCTAGCTGCAGCTGAAGCATTCGAATGCGGTGCATGCATCTCCATCAGCGGCCTCTACAGCAGCAGCAGCAGCGGCAGCTGCAGCGGCAGCAGCAGCAAGGGGAGCAAGGGCTTCGAGGAGTGGGTTCAAGGCAAAATAATCCTTGCTGCTGCCGCGCATGCAGCAGAAACAAAAGAGCCGCATGCTGCGCTGCAGCTGCTGCGGCGTGTCCCTCCGGGGTCTTGCTGCAGTGCAGCAGCGTTGGTGTCATCTGCTGAGGTGTACCGGCAGCATCTGCAGGACTCTGCTGCTGCTGTTCGCTGCCTGCGCCGCTCGCTACAGCAGCGACATCTCAGCAGCAGCACTGCAGCAGCAGCAGGGGAGCTGCTGCTGACGCTGCACCGACCAAGAGATGCAGTAACAGCATTTTGCCAAGCAAACGAACTTTGTCCCCAAGACCGGCGCCTCCTCCATCAACTCAGTGAGACACAGAGAAGCGGCAGCAAAAGACGACAGCCTCCTGCTGCTGCTGGTAGTCCTGCTGCTGCTGCTGCTGCTGCTTTAGACGAAGGGCTGGACGATAAATAGAGGGGAGAGCAGACGTAACAGCAGCAGCAGCAGGGCTAACAGCCGAAGTATCACAGCTTAGGGCGTAGGGTTTAATCCTTATGGGGACACGACCAACAGCAACAGATGTACTTGTAGAAAGAGCAGCAGCAGAAACAGCAGCGGCAGCAGAACCAAGAGTCGGTGGAGCTGTAAGAGAAGAAATGCGAACAATCGGCTGTGGTTGCTGTTGTTGGTGCTGCTGTTGTTGTTGCTGCTGCTCTGGTAGTTGAGAGTTTGCGTGCAACACAGGAATATCAGAAGGCTGTTGATAGAGCGTCGATGGAGCTGGCAAGAGCACCTGAGGATTGGCAGCTGCTGCTGCAGCTGCTGCAGCTGCTGCAGCAGATGGGGCGGCCAGGTGCAGCAATCGCAGCAGCAGCATACACTGACAGTCCTCTATTCCTTGAAGGTGACCCTAATGAGCTGCTGCTAAAGATAAGAATTCTTTGTGTTAGAGCCTCTTGCTTAGCAACAGCAGCAGCAGCAGCACAGCCACAGACGAATGCTGCTGAAGACACTGCTGCAAGAGCGAGAGACTATATCGACAGGTATGCTGCTGCTCGTGCTGCTGCTTTTAATGTTGCTTTTTCTGCTACTGATACTGATGCTTTTGATAGTAGTGTTGCTGCTGGTGCTGATGACGGTCGCGGTGGTGATTCTGGGTGCGTTTGGTGCTGCTGCTGCTGCATCATCATCATCAACAGCAGCAGCAGCAGCAATAGAGCAGGTGTGAATGTGCGGCTGCATGTAGGGCCTTGGTGTTGCTGCGGCGGGTGCAGCAGAAGCTGCTGTCGATGCTATCTGACCCCACCAGGACCCCACGCCTCTCCCTCACGCCCAGCAGCAGCAGCAGCAACAGCAGTAACAGCAGCAGCAACAACAGCAGCAACAGCAGCAACAGCAGCAGCAACAGCGGCAGCAGCAGCAAGAGGGTAGTAATGAGCGAGAAGAAGCAGCTGTTATGCGAGGCATCTAAGCAGCTAGCTGCGTTGCTGTGGCAGCTAAAGAGAGATGCTGCTGCTGCTTTAGATGTCTGCAGCAGAGCAATCCAGCACAGCAGCGCAGACACCGAGTTGCATGCGCTGCGTTGCCGGGTGTCTCTGCAGCTAGGCTGCATGCACACAGCAGAAGAATCTCTTAAATGTCTCCGCGAACTAGATAGCAACAACCCCACATGTACGCCCTGCTGCTGCTGCTGCTGCTGTCATGCTGCTGCAGCACGTTACGTGCTGCTGCTGTCGCTGTTGCAGATGACTTCCGGATGCAGCAGACTGCTGCTTGTTGGCTGGAGCTGCTGGTTGCTGCTGCTGGTTGCTGGTGCTGGCCGTTGCTGTTTCTGCTTCTGGCTGTTGCTGTTGCTGTTGCTGCTGCAGGTTGGGGTAAATGTGGAAGCGCTGCTGCTGTGAAGGTTTGTCGTGGGTATGCGCTGCTAATGCTGCTGCTGCAGTGTGCGAGCTGCAGGTACACCTGGTTGCTGCTGCGCTGCAGCGGGGACCGCAGTCTCTTGAAGAGCTGCTGCCGCATGCGCTGCAACTCATTAGGCAGCAGAAGGTGTCTTTTGCTGCTTTAGAAGCAGCGCTGCTGCTGCTGCGGCGGCGGGGCCTGCAGGAGGGTTACGACGAGGTCTGCTCCCTGCTGCAGCAGCAGCAGCACCACCAACAACAGCAACAGCAGCAGGAACCTGACACCACCAGGATCCGGACGCTTGCCTACTGCGAAGCTCTCGTCCATAAGTGCGCGTCTGCAACAAACCCTAAACCCTACACCCTAAACTCTCAGTCTCTGATTTACGCCTTCAGTCAGCAGCAGCAGCAGCAGCCTAGGTCCCCTTGCTGCTGCTTCTGTTTAACTGGTGCTGCAGATGGTGCTGTAGGCCAGAGATTGCGCTGCAGCGGTTTGTTGCTGCTCAAGAGCTGCCGCTGCTGCAGCAGTTGTCTCTGCAGCAGCAGTTGGAGTTGCTGCTGCGCCCCTTTGGTGCTGCTGAATCAGAATGGCTGCAGCAGAGTTCAACACGCAAGCGTCTGACAACTGTTTTATCCTGTGCAGCAGCAGCAGCAGGAATCGAAGCAGCAGCAACAGCTGCAGCTTCTGCTGCTGCACCGCAGCTGTTACCCCAGCCCTGGGAGCAACTGGGGATTGAGAAACTGCAGCAGATTTTGTTGCTGCCAGCAGCGGCATCCTCCGCCCCAGGAGAGTACGCACCACCAGAGAGAAGCAATAGCAGCAGCAGCAACAGCAGCAGCAACAGTAGCAGCAGCAACAGCAGCAGCAGCAGCAGCAGCAATGCTTCTGTATTGGAAGCTGCTGAGGCGCTTCTGTCTCGATGGGAGAAGACACAAGGAGCAGCAGCAGACACAGCAAACAATTATTTGCTTCAGGCGTACAGACAGGAGATAGCAGTGCTGTCGGGGAAAAGAGCTGCAGCAGAAGCTGCGCTGCAGCAAATGAAGCAGCTGCTGCAGGGGTTTCAGCAGCAGCAACAGCAACAGGAGCCCCTGCCGCTGCAGCCGCCGCTGCTGTTACCCCATGTGCATGCGCTCTTTGTTGCCGCAGAAGCCTATGTCGTCCTCGGACAACCTGCAAAAGCCCGCTCCTTGTTGCAGCAGGCAGCAGCAGCAGCAGCACAGGCAGAGCAGGCAGCAGCAGCAGCAGCTGCAGCAGCAGCAACAGCAGCAGCAGCACCCCGCCCAGAGTTAGACCCCGTGCAGCTCGCTGAGGCAACAGCTAGAGTTCAGCTGCTGCTTGCCGAGCTGCTGCTAGGGGATCGGCAGCAAGAGGCAGCAGCAGCAGCAGCAACAGCAGCAGCAGCAGCAATTGGCCCCAATTATAAAACATCGGAAATCCTCGCAAAGGTCGCAGAGAAACAAAAACAATATGACAAAGCAGCATCTCATTATAAAGATGTTTGTTTAACGAGAAACCCTAAACCCTAAACCCTAAACCCTAAACCCTAAACACTAAACCGTAAACCCGAAACTCGTGCAAATAGAGCAGGACTACAAAAGAACACAATAAATAAACAATCAACTATAAAAAGGAGGGTTTATAGAGATACTATAAACCCCGAGGGTTTAGGTAACCCTAAACACGAGGGTTTAGGGTTTAGCTGGTTTGTAACCTCCCAACACCTGCAAGGGTTTGAGCTGCCAAACAAGCAGCAGATTCAGTTGCAGCAGCAAGGGGACTTCTTACTGCAGCAGCAGCAGCAGCAAGAACAGCAGCAGAAGTACTGGAATGCTGTGTGTTTGTGTGTTGCAGGCCCTAAATCAGCACCCTAGACAGCTGCAGCTGCTGCTGCGGCAGGCGCTGCTGCAGCTGCAGCAGCAGCAGCTGCTGCCTGCCCTTGCAGGCTGTCAGAAGTTAATCTCCCATTGCCCTTCTGTTAAGAAGCAGCTGCAGCACCTCCTTGACTCTATAAGAGCAAAACTTAGGCCTTGAGGGTTTAGGGTTTAGGGTTTGAGCAAGTGCAGCAGCAGCAGCTGCTGGCAGCAGCAGCAGCTGGACTTTATCAGATCTAGACTCAGGCTTTGAGGGTTTAGGGTTTAGGGTTTAAGGAGGCCAAATGTACCTGTGGTGTCTGAAGGTTGCTGCTAAGGGGCCTCCTTGAGGGTTTCGGAGGTTTAGGGTTTTATGTTACTACAAGTACTCTAAACCCTAAACCCTAAGCCGCTCTCTCTCTTGTATTGCCATGAGGGTTGAGGGTTTAGGGGGTCTAGGGCTTGGCAAAGGTTTCGACTTGGATGTAATAAAGCACTAAGCCTTCGCTAAACCCTAAACCCTCTAAACCCTCTAAGCCCTCTAAACCCTAGACTGTATTACTTAAGGATTAGGCAGCGGTCTATGTGAGGGTTTATAAGAATTAGTGTTTAGGGTTTTGAGTTCAGGGTTTAGGGTTTAGGGTTTGAGGTGAATGACGTGTCTTCGCAGCAGATTGTGATTTCTTCAAAGCAATAAAAGGATGTGCAGGAATTGCTGCTGCTGCTGTTGCTGCTGTTGCTGCCGCAGCCGCCGCTGCTGCCGCTACCACTACTGCTGCTACTTACTGCTGCTGCTGCTGCTTCTGTCCGTTCGTTCCTTCGTTCCTTTTTGCTGCGTTCCTTCCGTATATGACAATTATGAATATTTAAAATAAAAACAATTTATTTTTATATTTTAATTCTTTTTTTATTTATTTTTTATATTTTAATCGCCTAAGAAAGAAGTACAACAACAACCCCACCCTCTCCTTGCCAGTAGTGTGTCGGCGGCCCCCCTTGCTGCTGCGGTGTACAGGCAGCTAATTAAATAAGAAATTTCCTCATTTTAATTAAATTGTTTTTTTTTGTTTTAAAAAGGGTCCCTAGCTGCCTCAGCAGCAGCAGCAGCAGCAACAGCAGCAGCAGCAGCAAGACCAGCAGCAGCAAGACCAGCGGTTTAGAGCGACCAGTGCAGCAGCAGGAATCTTTTTTCTTCTCTTTTTTTTTCCCCTTTTTGTTTAAGTCATGAAAGAATATAAAATAAAATAAATAAATTTAATTTAGTTTATATTTATTTATTTATTTATTTATTTAATTTATATTTATTTATTTATTTCTTATGCAATGGCTGTCGCTAACACTAACCTGCAAAACTACAACAGCGAACTTGTGCAGTGTATAGAAGACCTAAAAAGAAAAAGAGACGAAGTTAATAGACAAATAGAAGAGGCAAACCCTAAACCCTAAACCCTAAACCCTAATCCGCAAACCCTAAACCCTGATCCGCAAACCCTAAACCCTAATATATCCTGTATCCTAAATCTTAAGCCCCGAAGCCTAAACCCTAATCCTCAAACCCTAAGCCGTTAAACACTGAACCCTAAACCCCAAACCCTAAACCCTAATTAATCCTGATGCGCAGCAGCAGCAAGGGCTTAGTGCCTTCCTTCTTGTGCTGTCTGTACACCTGCAGGAAGAAAGAGATAAAGAAAAAATACAAAGAGAAATCGCACTTCTACAAGAAAGACTGCAGAGACTTAAAGGTAAATGACACACACAGCAGCAGCAGCAGCAACAGCAGCAGCAGCAGCACGAGCAGCATGAGCAGCACGAGCAGCAAAAGCAGCAACAGCAAGCAGGAACAGCACATCCGAGAAAAGAGACACTAGGAAAAGCCCAATAAGCAGAAACAGCAACATTAGCAGCAGCAGCAGCAACAACAGCAGCAGCAGCAACAGCAGCAGCAGCAGCAGCAGCAAGAATTGTATATGTATTTGTGTATAGAGAGTCTAACAAGGAAGATACATGCAAGACAAGAGTATGATAAAACTATTGAGGAGACAGAAGGAGCTTATACTAAGGTACTCCTTCCTCTCCCCTCTCTCCTCTTATTTACTGTGTCTCCTTTTTATTTATTTACTGTCTTTTTTTTTATTTATTTACTGTCTTTTTTCTATTTATTTACTGTCTCCTTTTTATTTATTTACTGTGTCTCCCTTTTATTTATTTACTGTCTCCTTTTTATTTATTTACTGTCTCCTTTTTATTTATTTACTGTCTCCTTTTTATTTTTACTGTCTCCTTTTTATTAATTATGTGTCCCCTTTTATTTCCTGTCTCCTTTTGTCTGTCTCCTGTCTGTTTGTCTCCTGTTAATGCCTTGCCTGTCTCCTTTTCCCTCTTGTCTCCGTTTATAATCCATCTGTCTCCTTTTATTATTTATGTGTCTCCTTTTACCTCTGTCTCCTTTTCTTATGTGTCTCCTTTTATGTGTCTCCTTTTATGTGTCTCCTTTTCTTATGTGTCTTCTTTTATCTGTCTCCTTTTTCCTCTATCTGTCTCCTTTTCCCTCTATCTGTCTCCTTTTCTTATGTGTCTCCTTTTATTATGTGTCTCCTTTTATGTGTCCCCTTCTATGTGTCTCCTTTTCTTATGTGTCTCCTTGTACCTCTATCTGTCTCCTTTTTTTATGTGTCGCCTTTTCTTATGTGTCTCCTTGTACCTCTATCTGTCTCCTTTTCTTATGTGTCTCCTTTTACCTTTATCTGTCTCCTTTTCTTATGTGTCTCCTTGTACCTCTATCTGTCTCCTTTTCTTATGTGTCTCCTTTTCTTATGTGTCTCTTTTTACCTCTATCTGTCCCCTTTTCTTATATGTCTCCTTTTCTTATGTGTCTCCTTGTACCTCTATCTGTCTCCTTTTCTTATGTGTCTCCTTTTACCTTTATCTGTCTCCTTTTCTTATGTGTCTCCTTGTACCTCTATCTGTCTCCTTTTCTTATGTGTCTCCTTGTACCTCTATCTGTCTCCTTTTCTTATGTGTCTCCTTTTACCTCTATCTGTCTCCTTTTCTTATGTGTCTCCTTGTACCTCTATCTGTCTCCTTTTCT